CCTGGCCTTGCGTCCCAAATTGCTCATGCTCTGCAGCTTCCCTCGCTTAGCCGGAAAAAAGCCGCTGGACCCATTGCCATACTCCTTGATGACCTTGAGCGGTTGAGCCTTCAGCTGTTACAGGACGGCTGTTCTGTCCATGATGCTAATGACCAGCTTGTTTTTAAGTTTGATACTGTTGCTAAGGGTAAGCTGCAACATATCATTCGTGAAAAGATGCGTGCTTGCGTCATTCAAGAATTTTCCACTCAAAGTCCGAAGTGGAGCGGCATTGAGCGTGTTAATTTGAAAGCTACTGTTAGTGTCGCGCGCCAGCAGCACACTGTTCACACTGGCAATGGTCCTCCTGTCCATGAGAAGCACACATTAACTAGCATTTGTCGCACCATCACTAATGCACATCCGACGCCTTACAGATTGCATCTCATGCATCTTGCTGAAACGCCGCATTGCCGACTGTGTGACCATGATTGTGGTGACTCGCACCACATCATATGGCAGTGTCCCTTTTTCTCGAGCATTCGTGACCAGTGGCCGTCTTACATGCATGATCGTAGTGCGTGGCCACCGTGTGCGGTGCATTTCTTAGTATGCACAACTGATATGCCTGAACAGCTGCAGACGTTGTGGCCGCGTGTGCAGGTGTTTGCAAGCCAAGTGGTGTCTGCATGGATGCAAGTTGAGAGGCTCGAAGATTTCCATGCATATACTTCTGAAGCTTCGACTTCTACGGAGAGCACCCAGCACGCAAAGCCGGGAGTGATCGCCTTGTTGCCTGCCAGACATGCCTGTAATAATGGTTTAACTTGTCTTGATTTGAATTGGTGTCCCCCGGAGACTAAGGGTCAACTTGGGCATTGGGGTTCTTCCTTGAGAGATTGGTGTTTAGTTTTTCATTTTTGGACCCACTGGCGCCATGCGGAGCCGGGAACGGATCATCGGAACTGGTCTTGGAGTGAGGTGACGGCACTCTTCTTGTCGCAAGGAGGATTGCATGCAGACTTCTGTACCGGATGCGGCACTTGGGCACAACTAATTTGGAAGTTGCGCGTGCTCAGTGTGAAACTATTGAATGATTGTCTCCATCAGGCTGACGGCGACGGCCCTTTGCAGGACAACGATGTCCTTGAAAAATGGCATATTTCGCTCCCTCAAGAGCGCATGTTGTGTGCTTCGTTTACCTGTGATATGACGCCTGCTGGTACTCATATTCTTGACATGCTTGATACCATCATGGCTCGGATTAGTATTGATAAACCCCGTATCACACGTAAGTGGGTTGTTGAAATGTCGGACGTATGGCCTAAGCTCCCTGCTGTGTGTAGCTGCCATTTGCAAGACAGTGAAGCAAAACTACTTCCGAAACGAACTCGTTTCGGCTCCAAAACGTCGCTTCTGAGATGGCAGCGTACACTGCTGCAGCAATCTTCTGTCATTGGCGTGCCAGTTGATGTCAAGGCTGCGGGCCTGGAAGCTGTACCGCTGGACACGCTCCTTGCTCAAACACAGGAGTCCTTGAAGCAGCTACTTGAACCTCAAGCGCGAGTGCGCTTGCAAGGTGTCTTGAAACGATGGACTCAAGTTTTAAATTCGATTGAAAGCGCCTTGAAAGATGCCCCATCTCAAAGTCATCATGTCTTGAAGCCTGAATGGCGTGCTGGCAAGTTTCGATGTGTGAAATGCCATGCTTCGTACGACCTGTCTGTCAGCCCCATGAGCTGGCGCAAAGCCTGCGCCGGTCAGTGCAGTCACGAGCAGCTTCTGGGCTTTAAGGCTGAGGCTGTTAGAATTTTGGATAAGGTTCGTTCCCTTGTTTTTCTTACCGACTTTGGTAGCGTGCATCCTCCTGTTGCAATTTTTGAAATGCAAAAGTTGAAGGATGAAGCGAGGCTTGTTACGCGCGAGAACATGTTTGAAAGGCTGGACCCGTGCCTCAAACATGCAAAGAATCGCAGACAACTTCCGGCGAGGTGGAAGGGCTTGATTGCAGCATGGGACAATGCTGACAAACATTGGGTCATTCCCGGATCCCTCATGTGTAAAAATGGCTATTGTGTTAAATGCTTCCATCGTTTGAATGACTTTGGTTCATTCTCCAGATATTCTTGCAGTGGGCATCTCATTGATGCCGGTGACAACTACATTGGTGTAGCACAGAACTTGAAAGAGCTTCTTCAGACCATCTGTGCATTAACTGCTGACGCGTAAACGACCGTTTTCGGCTTCAACCTGTGACGCTTCGCTGTGTGCAGCTGCTGGCTGCTTGTACATAGACTTGCTTCACATGCTTGTGCTCACTGAAGCACCATATTTTCTGTGCAGGCTTTTCCTGTTTCACTTCAACTGACCCAGACTTCGGTCCGCAAAGCAGAGGCGCTCAAAAGCAACAGCACGATCACGAACATTGAGCTCTGTTACAACCACATCGGCACTGAGGGCTGCCAGGCTGGGTGACGGAGAGGTCGGTGCATTTTGGATTTTGGAGCCTCGGCCTTTTCTGTGCGAGGCTTTGGCAGAGGCGATCAAAAGCAACAGCACGATCACGGACGTTGAACTTGGTGGCAACGAAATCGGCGAAGAGCAAGTCAAGGCCCGGCGTTTTAACGGCACTGCGGCCGGACTTTGTTCCCTTTGCCTGCGAGGCCATCGGAGAAGTTCTTGCGACACGACGGCAGCAAAAGGAATCCCGCGAGGCGGGTGAGTCTCATTAGCCATGCAGGGCTGTGCAAGCTACGCCTAGGCAGTCCCGAGGGCTGGCAACCGAACAACAGCTGCTCATGATGCGACCCACCTCTTTCAAAGTCGGCGAGAACAAGACAAAAACCGCGGGCTTGTCCGGTTCGTTTCTTGTCCGGTTCGTTTTACAAAGCAGCGGTGCGCCCTGGCTTCAGCACTTTCGCGCGAAGCGTCGCAGCCTCTGGATCCCTGATGGAGAAACGCTCAAAGGAGTGGCTAGCAGGTGTTGACGGCTGTCGCCCACAGTCTCGTCCTTGCTTAGGCTGTTCAGGGCCAGGGTGTACATCACGATCCTTTGCGTTCTGACGCCGCTCTCGTCTTCTTCCAGACAAGGCTGCAACAAGTTCAGCTTCGAAGAATGCCAAGCAGTCCCACAAGTGCACGTGTCGCCACAAGAACTGCTTCAGTCAGTCAGTCCGCCGACACGTCGGTCTGTCGGTCTATCCGTGAGCGATCAGAGGCCATCAGAGGCCGTCGGTTCATCCGTGCAGCTGAAGCTGAAAGGTTGCAGGGCTCAGAGAGTTGGAGCCGCAGAGGTCGGCTGATGCCATTCCCTGAGCCGAACTCTGAACCATCATCGCCAGCCTGTGAGTGGCACGTGTCCATGCAGTGAGTGGCAAGCCCCCCAACCCTTCTGACCCCTTTGACCCGGATGCTATCGCTGCTCCAAAGGCGACAAACCAAGAGGCTGCCCACTGCATTGTCAGCCGGATGTTCGTGTGATGTGAAGGCTACAAAATCTGACAATAGGATATCTCTTAGTCGCGAAGAATTTTCCCTCCCTTTCAGAAAATGCAGGCCACGCCACCTCCGAAGCTTAGAGAGTAGCCACGTCCCCGTGACTGTCGCAGTGTCTGTGTGCTCGACTGGTATCTTGGAACCGTATCAGGATCTCAAACTGCATTTCGACGAGTGGCAGCGCAGCGGCTTTGCGCCGCTGCCCGTGGTGCGGCTCTGCTTCGTGGGGCAGGGCCGGGCTGGCAAGACCACTACGCTGAGGCCGGACATGTGAGGGGACTTGCCAGAGTCTTGAGGAAGTCCTCGAGTTTCGTCTTGGACGCTCGACCTGTTGTAATGATGACCGAATGAAAGCTGAAATGAGTTGAACAGATGCAACATCAGCAGGCCCTGCCATTGAGTCTGCTCGTGCCCGCGGATTTGCAGATGCATGTGAAGGAAACCATTGTTTAACACCACATTGGCGAAACCAGTGGTGCCAGGCGCCTCAAGGGGGAGGTCGTGCGGGAAGGCCAAGAAGAGTCCACGTACGGCGTGGAGCTCTGGGCCGGACAAGCACGAGTAGATCTCTCGTCATCCTGGCAGGAGTGTGACAGGAGTATCTTCGACGCCAGCGCGGTCGATGCCATTCGCACGACGAAGCGTCGTGAAAAGCGGCAGCCAGAGCAAGCCCGAGGTCCAAAAACGGAGGAGCACCCCAACAAGCAGACACCTGCGGGAGATGCAGCTGGATCGACAGACTTGCCCAAGGACAATGGCATCTCTAGCCGCATCAATATCTTGTACTGAGGGCGTGCCAGTAAGTGAGGAAGATGCTAGCTGCCTGCCAGGAGCCTGTTCAGCTGAATATGCCGCAGAATGCGGAAGCGACGGACCCCAACAAAGAGCTTCCTGATGAGGCCCAGCCCGAAGAGAGGGCAACTGGGAGAGAGACACGGAGAGACACAGTAAGCAGGGAAGCAGAGAGGAGCGAGGGTGTGGGGTTCGGCTGGCTACCAGGCTGCGCAGCAGAATGCAGAGGAGTCGCTTGGCCCCAGACTCATGGATGACCAGCTCTTTCTGGATATGAGAAGGGCTGGCGACGAAGAAGAGCCGTTCCGGCCCAGATTACAATGCTGGGACTTCCCAGGGCAGAACGACTATGCTCAGTGCAACCTTCTGTACTTCCACGGTAGAGGCATTTACTTGGCCTTTGTGGATGTTAGCCAGCAGTTGGACGATGCCTGGCGCGAGCTCCAGTTTTGGATGTGGGCTATCGCGCAGCATGCTCACGATGACTATGATCCAACGCGCAAGAGCCTCGCAGCTCCGCCAGTCCTACTGATCGGCACAAAGTGGTCGAAGAAACGGCTGGACGAGCAAGACCTGGACAGTCGCGTGGATTCATTTTTAGACTACGTGCCACGGCTGAAGAGCCAGCTTCAAGCAGGACCCGGAGTTTCTGCGTCGTGCCGCTCGAAGTGGATCTACCCGGTGGAGAACTTCGCAGAGGATGTGGAGACCTACATTAGACTGCTCCGGGAGAGGCTGAACGAGCTCACTGTAGATCTCCTTCTCCCTACAAAGCCTGATGCAGTCAACCAAAAGCCTTATGCTGGTCTGCAGTCGCAAACTTACCCCGTGGCATGGCTCAGGGCTCATGACCTTCTCACCGGCCTGGGAGATGGCATGGACGTCACAGTCCCAAGAACACAGCTGCAAGCACATCTGCAGCGCACTGCCGGAAATGATGGACCTGCCACATCCGAACCGAGTATGGGAGCAAGCGACCCGCTAGCACCGAACTCTAGCTTCAGTTTGAAAGCTGATGAACCCATGCTGAACCGCAATGGGGAGAGGATCCTCGTGCCAAAGGGTGCGTATGTGCAAGTCCTGGGAAGTGCTAATGGTGGCGATGATGTCCACCTAAGGGTCTCCTGCACCTTGTTGGAGTTGTCGCAGGTAAAGAGGCTTCTGGCTGGTGTGAAGCCACGGCCAGTCGTCGGTGAAGAGGTGTCTACGGTGTTGAGCTTGCTGCATGGCCTGGGGGTCCTTTTCTGGTTTCCTGAGGAAGGGCTGAAAGAGCACGTGCTATTAGCAATCCGAAAAGTGGCCGTTGCATTGACTCGAATCATAAGCTTACGCTTCTGGGCCGAGAAGGGCCTCCAGCACTCAGAGGCCTACAGGAAGGAACTGCTAGAGTGTGTGTCAACTACGAGTCTTCGGAGACTGAACACTGAAGGTCTGGCGAGTCGAGATCTGCTTGAAAGGCTCTGGACAGAAGACTTTGGCCACGTCGATGGTAAAGAAGGGGCCGGAATGACCGATATCATGTTGAAGATTATGGAGCAGAAGGGGCTGATACTGAAGCGTGCCTTCAAAAACGATTTCATTGTGCCTTGCTGCCTACCTGCATCAATATTGCCCGAATCAGCACAACATGTTTCTGAAGTTCGCTACCTAAATCTAGAGGGCCTGGTGTCACCAGCTATCCTGACGCGGATTTCAGCCGACTTATGCAACGGTGGACGTGGATTGCAGGAGTTTACCCCGGGACCCCCACAGCTTTTCCGAAACGACGTTGAGTTGAATTCGGATGGACATTCCATTGGCATCTCTTTGTCGCCTGCCCTGGGCTTTCAGCTTCTTCGACTTCGAGTGAAATCGCCCCTGGTTACCCCGCCGTGTGAAGGGACTGCAGAGGCAGAGAAATCGCCAGCTGACAGACGAGCCAGCATGATGAACCGCGTCCTTGCAAGCTTCTTCGAGTGCCTGGGCATTGACGAAAGGATGCAAGCCAAACTGGTTTATACCCGCGAGTCAATGAGGTTCAATCCGGAGCCATTCTTCGGCAAACTTGCATGCAGCAGGTCGTCTTGCATGCTTTTTCCGTCGGGCTGTCGGCGGTGTGAGGTGTCAGATTCTGGGTTTCTGCAACAGCGCTACCTCCAGGACCTTAGTGACGACCTGGCCAAGGTCGTGGACTGCGTGTGCGTGCTGAACGAAGTGAGACCTGCGGGCAGCTTTCGTTTTAACACGATGATATATCCCTGTGATGTGGACCTAGAAGAGTACGTGGTTGCTGCCGCAGTGGACAAGCAGGATGCTCTGCACAAACTGGCGGAATCGCTGGAGACACTTAGCCAGAAGTGCAGGGAGCAACCAAACCTCTACTGGGGAGGCCTCAAGGCCGGGAAGCATCCGACACAGAAGCAGCTCCTGAATCCATCCAAGCCTGAAGTGCTGGAGTGGAGCCTCGGCGGCCTCATGCGGGGGGAGAAAACATTTACTATCAGGCGAAGTGGCGAGAAGATCGCGATTTCTTTGGCGAAAGCCTTGGAAGACGGGAACAAGTCACGGACAGCTTTCATTACCGTGTTTGCCAAAGTCGCTTTGTTCAGTGGACAAGCGATTCCACGCCGCTTTTTCGAAATTACCAACGTGATCCGATTCGGATTTGTCCACGATGGCCAAATCATTCCTGTAACAGCGGAGTATGACTTCCTTGCGGTTCTGGATGAGTGCATCTGCAGCTATTCTTTTAAAACTCCGAAGGCGATGAAGTATGCCAGAGCCTCAGCGGGTGGTTGTCGCTGCTTGTCCGGCAAGTTCTTAGGATATGCGCACATGCATGTCTTCCGAGCATCGGCCCCTGGAATATCCAGCATGCTACAGCGTTGACTTTTAAGGTTCTAGAAGTCAGATTGCTGTGCCGACAGTTGCGTTGTGTCAGTCGGCAATCTGTGCAAGAGCCTCAGTCAGGTGAAGCGCCTCTGGGAGAGGGCGGTGTACTTAGCACAGCGAAACATGGCCGTGGAGCCGAGTCTGGTCATGCTCAAGGCCCTGAAGCCTATCTTTGGACATTGGGTGGCGGAGCTGGCACAGATCGCGGCCCATGCCGAGACGCTGCATGCAATGCTGAAGAAGCGCTTCAAAGATGCGGCTCTCTCCGACCTGACAGTCTTCCGCCGGGGCCCCAGCCTTGTGGAGACTTTTAAGTGAGATGCTGACCCAGATCTCCTTCCGCCAGTTGGAGTCGGGACCGAGGCGCCAGCCTGGAGGGCATCCAAAAGCAACTGCTGAAAGCCACGGGGACCGTCTCCGGGCAGAGCTGGGAACGGGCGGCAGCTTCGGAAGTTCTTCAGACCCTGGAGCACCTCTTCCAACGACTCCCAGAAGGTTCAGAAAACGATGATGAGCTGAAGCACAGATTGGAAGAAGCGGCAGATCTTCTGGAAGCAGGCGTGGAGTGCACTCTGAACCTGTGGCTGGGAAGCTTCACCACCGCAATCACACGACCCCTCCACGAAGAATGGGAGTTTCCTTCGGGCCACCTGCCCATCGGTGCCGAAGTCGTTACGTCTGTCCACGGGCAGCAAGCAGAGCCCATCTACATGTGCTCATGGAACGTTCAAGACCTCGGCCTCGGCATCTCCGCCAAGAGAGAAGGGCGTCAGCAAAGCATCTTCAACTTGGTTTTTGAGATGCTCCAGCACCCGACGAATCCCGACATCCATGTGCACTTGCTTTGTCTTCACGGATGCTGGCCAGAGCTGCTAGAGCAAATTGGGGCCCGGTTGACGCAGGTGGAGGAACCATTTGAGATGCAATCTTCCGGGAATGCTGCGGAGCCAGGCAACCAGCAGGCAAGAGCTTTTGAACTGATTTGCTGCCCGCGGTGGGTTTGCTTTCAAGCTTTGTGCTGGTTGTGCTGCAATAACAAGTTCATGATGCGGTCCCGGCCAGGCCATCATTTACAACACGCAAGTCCTGGAGCTGAAGGGCTTCGTGCCCGAGCAACTCTTCGGCGCCGACTCCGAGAAGGCTCCGAAGCTTCTCTTTTTGCCTCTGCCTGCTCTCTTGTGCTACTGCTTGCGGGTTCTGTTCGACGGGACCGGGACCCTGAGCTAGCACATGCTGATCTCCCACAAGAGAAGCCCGTAGTTGTCCTAGGGGCAGACCAACTCCAGAATACCACGAGAAGCTTGCACAAAGCACAGCCACCAGGCAGTGGCAGTGGCCCGCTTCTTTTTGAAGCGGGAAGCGCGCCAGCTTCGAATCATGACGGCGCCACTTGGCCGGTCCCCAAAGCCAACAATCAAGCTTGAGCCTGAATGTCTACTTAGATACAACACGGCAGGCACGGCAGTCCTGTAGAACACCAATATACCAATAGAGTTGAAACCCCGCTTTCACGATAAAACCTTCCCAGGCTGAAGACTGCCTTTCTCCACAAGCCGCCAAGGCATCTGCCGATTGAGCCTTTCAGCTCTGCGCATCGTGCACTCTGCGACTGCGTTCGGAGGCAGCATCCACCGTGGGCAGCTTGGCTTCCACTTCAGCACTTTCTTGCCCAGCTCCAGGCTCCATGCCGGCGACAGCGACACGGCCCAGATCCCGATGCTTCTGCTGGGCGACTTCGGAGTGCAGGAGCAGGTGCCGAGGGCAACCTTTCCACTGCGGAGTTGCCGATGTCGCGACCACGTAGATTTGTCTTAGCTGGAGCAAGCAGTTTAGTGACTGGTGATTTCTGAAATGTGAGTTCCTTGGTGGAAATGTGCCAAAAGCACAGGCCATCGGACCTCTGCTAAAGCATCATGCCAAAGTTCCCGTCGCCTTCATTCCGGTACCGTATCCAACGACGGTCTTCAAGGCCAGTCTGCATATGGGTATCCGAGACCCACCGCTGCAGTAGCACGGCCTTGGCGCAGGGCTCGTTGCTGCCGAAGCGGACGGATGCCATCGCTTCGCTGTCAAAGGATCTCAAGGCTCCTCCTATACTTACGATATTACCTTGGGCCAGGATTATGCATGCATCTTAACATTGGCGCGTCTTGTTTATTCTTACTGTAGCGATTTGAGATGACAGTCTCCCCGCAAGTTCCAGTTTCTGGCAGGCATCCCCAATTTGGCAGCCAAGCCGCGAATCTAAGATGCTTGCATCGGAAATCCGAAACCCCGGAATGAACAGATCTGAAGCCTCATCAAGATTCTGGAAAGGTCCAAGCGCTGGCAGCCGACCAGGTCGTCGCAGGCTTGGAGAAGCACGTGGAGCTGCTCAAGTCGAGGCAAAGCCCTTTGTCAGAACTGTAGAGCCTTCCCAGCCGTCGGTTTTTTTCTGACCCTGCCAGATAGGGTGTACCGTCCCAACGCTGCGCTGTATTGCAACAAGACATGGGAAGTCACGAGACGATTCGTAGCCTCAATGCGTGCAGGTGTGTGGGATTGGCTGACTGGGACACAGATGGAAGCTTCGCGGACATGGCCGCTTCGTGCTAGACAGGCTAGGCTGACGATACGCCAACTTGCTCAGCAGCAGTAGTGCTTGTGCTTGTCTTAGCAGGAGCACGAGAATTGGTTTGACCAAGTCTCAAGCATTAAATCACGGTGAACGGTCTGATAGTCGCAGCCAGGCCATGCTGAAAAGCAATGAAGCCGAGGCTGCGACTGGCGTACGAGTTTGGTTTGCTTTCGCTATTTGTGGCGCTTGTATCTGGTGCAGCAAGTTTCAGCAGTCAGCGGGACTATCCCACCATTCAGAGCTCCAATACGGTGGTGGCGAAGACTTGTTGATACATCCGACAGCCCCCCTGTGACCGACGGCGACTGCCGAAGTTCATGAAACCCGCGCGGAACGTTTCGAGTCTCATTGTTTCCTGATGTTCCTGCGTGTCTCCGCCATGATGGTTTTGTGCTTTAGACTTTAGAAACCCCGAACTGCTTCGACCTCCGCGGCATGCGATTGGCGATGCGACAACGGGAGCAGCAAACCAGCTCATAATCTGATTCTGGGAACCAGCTCTCTTGATGGCTGGAGATAGCGGCATGTCTTCCATCGATGTCGTTCGTGTGGAGCCTGTGTCGTTGTTGGTCGGGTCGACTTCAGTCAGTTTCTGATTCTCTTTCCCACCTAAAGCGTACCGTCGCCTGGGGTCGCGAGCCCTCAAGACACTCATCGTATCAAAGTTCATGGTAGCGAGATGTAGCGAGCTTCTAACCACAAAGGAGGATCAACATTTTTTCGTTTCGATTAAGTCACGGATTTGCCAGGCTTGTTCAAGACTACCCTGATCTCGCTCGATGGCAGCAGTGAATGGTCTGTGCCGGAATGCGGCAGTTGGGTTTCAGGGTTGCCTAGCAAGCCTGCTACAGAGGGGCATGTCTCGAAGAATATCTGGACGTACAAAGTTGACGTCCTCTTGCCAAGAATCGACAAAGTTCGGCGATTCTGGAAATACGCCCAGATTCGGATGGCGAAGCAAAAGCCACGCTGCTGAATGACTGCCTGCAGTTTCGGAATATGCGCGGCTCCACACCTGTCACCGCCTGTCAACTCTCGTTGTTCCGCCTTCTTCTCTTGGTACGGTTTGACGAGCTCCAGTTCTAGAGCCAATGTGGGGATTTCCTAGTGTTTGGGGTCCCTGAATTGACGGTCTTGGGTCCTTCATTGTCTTAAAGTTCCGCTGTTTTGAGGGAAAGCCGTGTGTCTCGAAGCCCGATAGAAGGGTCTTGAACTCGCACTCGCGACTGTTTACAAGCCTACTGGTCACACGACGCGGCGAAACACCGAAAGGAGGCTAAAGACACTCTGCAGCAGCTCTGATGCCCAGTCCAGCCGCGGCCGCTCGCGCCGGAGGCTGGCGCAGCTACTGCTCGCTTCGCAGGTCATCCAAAAAGCGGGGCGTCTTGCAGCCTTGCACTGGCTTCCTCCGGGCTTCAGCAATCATGCATGAGCATGCCTTGAGAAAGTGCGTGTGGTGTTGCCAGTGCCAAAGCTTGCTTTCAGTGTGCCCTATAGACCTTCAAGATCCTTTTGCAAGGGCAGCATCACAGTTAGTCATTGGTTTGGATTCCCCGCAGAGATGGGAGTCCAAAGCCACCATCAACAGGATTTTTGGAGCTTTGAGACTTCACATAGACGGCCATTCTGGTGGAGAAGCGTCACGAAGATGTTCAAGATGAGAGCTACGAAACCCCAGAACCTCAGACAAGAGCTTCGCTGGTCTTGCAGCACAAGCTTTGGACTCCTGGCGTGAGACGCACCGAATTCCGAAAGCCCGGAGTATGAACCTACCTACTAGTACCTATTTATTTCTTTGACCTGCTTACTTCCTCATACCATGCCTACATCATTGTACTTTTAGATACTGGTATTGCTATGATTGCTGGTGTTATGCTGCTGTTGTTTCGCCCGCCGAAGTCTTGGCTCCAGGCCGCCTGTGCACAGCCGCCCACAGTTTTTGCACAAGGGTTCGCCGGCTCAATGTCGGGGGTTCTTACACTGAGATGTGCATCAGATGCGCACAAGTTAGGGGCGTCATTACAAAGATCGTAGGGATTGGAATATGTGATGAGTTCCCTGAGTTTTGAGAACATCCTTATGTAGATCCCAGCTTTGGCAGACTTACACACAGTATGGGCCTTGAACGTCAGCCACGCCCCAGCATCCTTGTGCCATCAACCCCAAGCAGCACTGAAACCCTGGGGTCCCTAAGCCCTCAGAATTCGCAGGCTTCACCCCCCTAAACACGAAACCCCAAGCCCCCAAATTCAAAGATCCCAAAGCCCACAGCAGAGAAAACCCCCTGAGCCGGCTGGGAGCCATGGGCACCGACGGGAGCAGCCGACCTTCCGGACCGGGGCCGGTGGGCGGCCTGGGGTTTCTAGGGGGGTTCGGGGGGGGGGATTTGAGAAAAAGCGCTGCAGGGTTAAGTGCAAGGGTCTACGGGTTTATGGGTAAGGTTTGGGAGCAGCGAAACATCGGCACCCAAAGCCGAAACTTCCAGACCAACTCCTACAACCTAGCCAACAGACAGACCCCCGAAGCTTTAAATCCTGCAGCAGTTTCGAAGGTCCGCGGTCTTTCCCCCTAAACTAAACCTTTGAATCTGTACTCCCCCGAAGCACCAAACCTCTTATCACCCCAGGAGCCTTCAGCAAGTACTAACGCCATGCCACCCCAAACCCCTTGACCCGTGTAAGCCCGTTTCACAACAGAACCTGAGAACCTGCCGCGGGAGGCTAAGCCCAGATCCCCCAAACTCCCTGCAAGAACGCCTCCTTACAGAAATAGGCATGCGCTCTACATATAAACTCCTTACAGAACAGGAATGAACTCTATATAGCTTGTCAAAAAGAGCCTCGAAGCTCTAAAGTCTGAAATTCAAAGATGTGCAGGAAGCACCCTGAAATCCCTAAAGCCCTGAGCCCTAAACCCTGAAATCCCTAAAACCCTAAAGCCCTCGAGCAATGCCTTATCAAACCCTTACAAGTCCCAACCCAGCTACCCCCAAGCATCCTGAGCACGTAAGGTTTCAGAGGGGGCTTTCGTAGGGTGTAAGGTTCTACAAAGCTGTAGAGGGTTTTATTTCCTGGAAGCCGGCTCAGATCACTGGAAGCTTACCGACAGGACGCCTTTGTTGTTGAGATTCATTGAGGATTACACCCCGCGATCTATAAAACTCGGCTGGAACCTCACGGAGTCTCTGTAACACCGTTTTACAATCGTAAGCTCCCTTACAAGCCCCCTTATCAAACCCTACCATTCCACAAAAACCCAAAACCCCTAGACCCCTAAATCCTAAACCCCAACCTCAAAAGAACCCCTAAACGCTAAACCCTCCCCTAAACCCCTCAACGCTGGCTAAGATACCCCAAACCCCAAACTCAAAAAGAACAACCCTGAACCCTCAACCCTTCTGCAAACCCCAGAACGCTGGCTAAGATACCCCAAGCCCCAAGCCTGAACAACCCTAAACCCTCAACCCTCCCCCAAACGCCTTAAGGCTGGGCTCAGATACCCCAAACTCCAACCCTGAACAACCCTGAACCCTCACCCTCCCGCAAACACCTTAGCGCGGGCTCAGATCCTGCAGCTGGAGATGATGGAGTCGCCCCCCACCCAGCCGAAGCCGCCCTGGAGGCGCGGCCCGTGCCCTGAAGTTTGGAGGATAGGGCTTTGGGCTTTGGGTTTCGGGTGTAGAGTAGGGGGTTTAGGGTTCTTAGGATTTGGGGTTTCAGGTTTAGGCTTTAGGGGGGGTTAGGGGGTTTAGGGCTTAGGAGTATTTCAGGGTTCAGAGTGTGATGTCTAAATCCGAACTTCGAAATCTATCGAAAGCAAACGAGAAGCATCGGCTTTGTGAGTGGTATACAGGGGCTTTGATTTAGCGGCCTTTGCAGCAAGGATCGGGATCCTACCCTGAAGGGTTTCCCGCAGTGCCACAGGTTCTGACACTCGCAAATCTTGATCATTGTACCCGGAGTCTTGAAGCTTCAATCCTCCTCCCTCCCAAGTCCGAAATCCCAATCCGAAATCCTAAGCCAAAGCCCTACTACAAGGATCAGGGGACTTAGTAGAATAGGCTATAAGCAGATAATCAAGCGAACCTGGAAGCTGCTTACCAGGTCCTCTGCCAAATCCGAAGGGTATACATCCTAAGCCTAAGCCTTAAGCATGCTCTTTACCTCAAATCCCAAATCCTGGACCCAAAGGGTCCTACGTACTGTTATGGGGGACACTTCCCCAAGTCATACTAGCAATTCCTAATATGGAAACCCTACATGCTACTATATCGGTACATAGAACCCGAGCAGGCCCGTGACGATGCTCAGCCGGGCCAGCTCCGAGGGGCGCCTCCGCCCCGGGAGCTCGGCCAGTGGGGCACCCGGATGGGGAGGAGTCTGAGGGGGTTCCAGGATTCCTTCAAGGGTTCCTTTGCAAGCTTCCTTTAGGTATTCCTGTAGGGCAGGCTGTTAAGGCCCGTCTATGAGCATGAGGGTTCAATGTACAGAGTTGCTGTAACTCTTCTTGTAGTGAAAATTAGTCAAGGCTCTTCTAATGGTTTGAGGGTGAAGGCGGACCTGGGAGCTTACATTTTGCCTTTGGGGCTTCGGGTTTTGGGCTAGGACACGGTGATTTTGGTTCCGTTTGCCTTGAAGTTGCAGTTATCATGAGGTGCTAAGTTCCCTGAACCTCCAACTACCCCCTTCACCCGCCTCCAGTCCTAAAGCCAAATCAAAGGCTAAGCCCAAACCCCTGAGCTCTAAAGACGCAACCCTAAAACCGAAAATCCCGGAGCAAAACACCAAAATCCGAAATCCGAAACCCTAAACCCTAAACCCTAAATCCTAAACCCTAAACCCTAAATCCTAAACCCTAAATCCTAAACCCTAAATCCCTAACTCCAAGCCCCGAGCATCCTCAGCCAGGCCTGCACTTAGCCTCTGCTGGGGCGCTGCTGAGCATGGCCCGAGACCACGAGGCGCGGGTTTTTCGCAGCGGAGGGCCAGGGCTTTGGCAGTTAGATTTCTCATAGGGATTGCAGAAGAGGCTACTACAAGGGCTGATTACAATAATAAGGGCTGCCATATGGGCTCATATATGGGAGTTTCCAGAAATAGGGGACCCTAATATAGTACCCTAGATAGTAGGATCCTGATTATAAGGACCCCAAAATAAGGTACCCCTAAATTTCGGAAACTCCCACATGGGTTTCTTGTGTGGGTGTCCCAGAAGGATGGCTTGGTTCAGCGTTGTGGGCAGACCGAGTACCTCCTGCCAAAACTCTAGGTTCAAGAAGCCTAGCACGACACGCTTAGAGAGGGAAAGAATCGTGAAGTCTACATCCGAGACCCCAGGCAAGCCTAAAAAAACACAAAGAATCCTAAACCCTAAAACCTTGTAAACAACAAAACTCTCAAACCTAAGCACACTACCCGAACTCTCAACCCTAAACTAGCCCTAAACAAACTACCCTAAACCCCCCAAAAGCCCTAGATCCAGAAATCTCAGACCTTCAACCACCGAATGCCCACAGGTCCCCCGGGGGCCCGGTCTTCCCCGCGGGACGCTGCAGCGCCGAGGTCCCTGCGTGCACTTTGGTTGGTTTGTTGGTTTTTGCTTTTATGGGAGTTTCATGATTCAAGCAGAATTTGGCGAAGGCTTTTCGGGAGAGATTCGGTTTGAGCTGGAACGGTGTTTTCTGTTAATTGAGGTTTTTGTGGCAGTATATATTCTGCAGAAGGTGCCACTGTTCAATTTTGGCAAGGTTGTGGGTTGCGAGATTGTAGGAGTCAGGATTAGCAGGGATTCTGTGGGGGCCTGTACTGGTTTCGGGTAAGGGGGTTTGGGGCTTGCTTTTGAGTGCTTGGAGTCTGTGAAATGTTGGGGTAGGCTATGGTAGGCTCCAGTAAAGAGCTGTTGAATGGGAGGCCTGCGCCCAAGACCCCAGACCAGAGCCCGGCTTCAGGTTTCCAGGGTTAAGCGTTAAGGATTTAGGGTTTAGGGTTTAGGGTTTCGGGGAAGGTAGGACGTTGGAATTGTCCGCGGATGGCAGTGAAGAAGCATATTCTTGACTGCCATGGCGTCTCATGAAAGTTTAAGCTTGGTTTGGGAGATGTCTCAAGCGGCTGTGCATCCGTTGGCCTCGCACAGACTGGCTGGCCATGTGTTTGGGCCCGTCAGAATCCAAGTCCAGAGCACGAGTTATGATCCGGTTGTGACGGAAATGGGCTCTACAGGGTAGCCTAAACTCCATAAGCGAGCTGGTTGCAGGTCTTGGGCAGCCCCGTTCGGCATGGCCCTCAAAGAATCGTGTCGAATGGTGCTAGAAACTCAGTGCTTAGGGTTGCGGGCCTTTCAAAGTGTGCCGGGCCATGTGCTGCCGCACTTGAACCATGGATCCGTTTAGGAAATCCTAAACTGTAAGCCCATTAAGCTCAAACCTGATGTGCACCCTAAACCCTGGGCACTGGTTCAACCTGCGAGAATGCAGATCAGGAGCCTACCTAAAGCTTTGCACTCTAAAGTCCGACCGAATGAGGTCAGGCCTGTAGAAGCTGCATGGAGTCTTCGCTGCTCGCGCCGCAACCGAAGCTTTTTATAAAGTCGCACCGAATACATTATGATTCGAAGAGAGCACCTGAGATCCTCGTCAAGACCCCTTAAGCCCTAAACCCCCCTTCCCCTACATCCACGGGGCCCCCAACCCTAGACCATGAGAAAACTTCAAGCCTCTAGCAGCGGGTTTGGATCCGAGCGACGATGCCGGATTTGATAAGACGGCCCCCCCGACGCGTCTACTCAACAGTACATCCCGGCCTGTACCCGCCCCGCCTCCCTGAATCAGGGTAAGGCAAGCATCCCACGCCATGTTTGCCGCGGGGTTGGCCTCCATCGTGGGCCTGGCGACCTATGCCTACAGCACCCTGGCTTTCCGGGCTGTAGCGCTTCGGATTCGCGGCGCGTAGTATGATGGGGCTTTGTGCAGACTCCAAATCGTAAACCCCCAGTATTAAACTTTGAAGCTGGTTGCTATCTGCTACGAAACTGAGGCTACAACTTGTCTCGGTTCAAGTTCGATGCCAAGCTGCGCCAGGAATCCCGATATCACTACCAGGCCGGCAACATGCATGACCGTATGAATATGGGCCCGTATGATTCGTGGTCTTACTCCTTTGAACTTTGGGCCTCAGGTGTTTTTCTTGCGTAGTGTGCTATCATCCTGTCTTGCAGTGACCGGGCTCTTGTATCCTCTTTGAGGGGATAGATCAAAGCCTAAGTCAAGCCTTATAAACTTATAAACGCTATATGCCTTTGCAAGGGAGGCTTTCAGGTCTCGCGCTTCGGGTTTGGTTTCTAGGGTCTCCGAATGTAATTATGCCAAGAATCATGCTGTCGACTGAGGGCGCTCGTTCCTTGTTTGGGATGCCCATCCTAATCCTTCTTCTGACCCTAGACCCAAAAAAGCCTGCGCTTCTTTGGCCCTTCCCTCCTGGTCAGGACATGAGGATCGAGCTGTGGAAGCTCTTTCGCGAGGACGTGCGCGATGTCTTCGAGCTCACGCGTGCGAACATGGACAACTACATGGCCGCCTGTCATGTTGAGTTGTAATTGACGATTATGCTGATACTACGGTAACAGTAGCCAGGACACTTGTGCTCAAAGGAATGATAGGTGGGCCAGCAGTCAGATATCGTTTCCATTCAACCTGGTGTTCAGAATCACCTCAAACCCTAAATCGGAGACAGAGGTTCTGGGTGACCCTTGACGCCTGCATTATTGACCATGTCAGCAGGTCGGTTGAGGGTTTAGGGGTCAGTGATCCTTTCACATTCAACCCAAAGCTTTGCAACCCAGATGCCGGCAAGGGTCCTGTGCCTCAAGTTTTTTTCGGGGTTCCTGTCCCAAGCGCGCCCTAAACCCTAAACCCTAAACCCTAAACCCCGCCACGATGACCCCAGCGTTTTCGAGGTCGTGGGTGTCTTGATCATCGCCTCGGTCATGAACTTCATGGCTGTGGGGCGATCCGCCTCGACAGGGGTTTCCAAGAATAGGGGGACCCCTTTTTTTCGGGGGATCTTGATGAGGAGGATCCCATTGTGTGCGGTTCCTCATTTCCAGAACCACCCCTGTATGGAGTTTTTGGCTTTATGTGAGGATGGAGTGCGGGCTGTAGAAGGGATTTTTGAATACTGGATCCCGCACCCCGAATCCTAGTCGACTGCTTACAGTATAATAGGCTGGACCCGGACCCCACACTAACCCTCAGCTCTAGCAGCCTCTAAATGCTCCCTTCGAGCCCTTGCGAAGCATAAGTCCCCCCTTCTGATTTGCAGCTCCGACCTAGTCTCGAGTCTTGATGTTGATCTTATGCCCATTGTTTGTTTCAACCCCAAGCCCTAAATCCTAAACCCTACCCCGCAAGCCCCAATTCCTAGACCCAGACGGAAAGGTTGAATCCTGACCCGACCCAGAGGCGCATGGTCACGTGAGTTTGAGAACTGAAGCCCCTTCCTTCTGGTCGTTCCTTTTCTGCTCACGCACAGCGTCAGACACATCCTTGTAAAGATGTCAGAATCTGAGGTATCCGACCTTCCCGATGGAGCCGCCCTGGCTGGTGGTCATCTGGAACAACAGCGTGGCCGGGCAGCGCCTAACACTTGAGAAACCCTGGGTACAAAGGGTTTAGGGCGCAGGGTTGAGCGATTGAAGCACTTGATAACTTAGGGTACTTAGAAATAGTTTTTAATTTGTGGTTATTATAATCCCTAAGAAACAGCTAAAGTTATAATTTTTGCTAGGGTTCTAAGTTCAGTATAGACAAGGCAGGAGTCGGTGTGGCCTTCAGGTTTCCGTGAGAGATAGAGGAGGATGCTGGTGTTACCCTCGAGGTTTTCGCATGCAAACATCGTCGAAGCATAGATAATCTAAGCCCCACATCCTGCGACGATGAGATCTCTGAAAGGAACCAATGGAGCGCTGATAAAGCTCCATTTCCACAGGTTCGGGATTTGGTTCGATGCCATGCCAAGATGCGGACACATGAGGAGTACGGCAGAAGTCATACAACCCTTAAACAGGCCGCTCCCCCTCCCCCAGATGCTTCAACTCCGACTCCGTATTCCTCAGAGGTCTTCTCCTGTGTCATCTTTGGCATGGTGGGCGTCTGGCTGGCCATGCACGGCTCCATCGCGGCCACCTCGGCATCGACGAAGATCCTGACGCAGGCATAGTCTCGGGCGCAAAGCATAAGCTTACAGTTTCTGAGCTTTTCTTGAGATTGTGAACACAGGGCAGACCCAGAAGCACATGAGTAAGTTGACCTAACCAGTCGTAAATCTTTGTAAAGCTCAAACCGAAGTCCTCAGTCGCCAGGCTCGAAGAAGAAGCCCTTTTGGGCAAGGGTTTACGGCCCAATGTCTAAGCACCAAGCCTCGTAACGTAGACTCAAACTCCAGCATCGAGTCTAGGGTTTAGGGGTTCAGGGCTAAGGATTTAGGGTATGAGAGCTTCTCGTATGAAGCTAAGAGTCATGAGTTAAGAGTTTATCTGGGATGTGGGTTTGTTGCCGATGCTGCGTCGCTTTATAGACAGCTCTTAGACTAACCTAGGCAAACCTGAAACGTCACTCCACAGACTTCCAAATGGCTCTTCCACCACAGATGCTACAGTGGTTTTGAAGATGAGAGACGCGAACATTGCCCCAACAAGCACCCCTAAACCCCAACCTCTAAACCCTAAAACCCCAAATTCCTAAACCCTGAAACCCTGAATCCCTTAGCCCCAAACTCCTAAAACTCTAACCCCCAAAACCCTAGACCCCAAACCCTAAACAATAAACAGAGGGACCGCCTCCTTCTTAAGACGCTTATGCATGTTTGGAAAGCCTAGGCTCTGGCCTGTGGCCCCGTAAACCTCCGACACGACCCGACGCCTTCACAGAGGGGTCGGAATAATTACATGTACGAATATGCTGTTCATTAGGTCATTAATTAGGCCTCCTGACTACTGTACTAGATCCCCCCTACATCAGATATGTTGGTTAATCTGGTTATATCCTGTCCATTAGGAAGGGTTCCTTGCCATAATTCCACTATACCATGCCCCAACATCCTAGCCTCCTTTACGCAGGTCCCCACACTAAGCTACCCGGGTCTGGGCACAGGCCGTTCGGCCGCCGGTGGCGTCGCTTGTAGAGGTCAGCCACGGCATGGTACAACAGGAGGACCTGACAGTGGTTTTTCGGTGCTCAGGTGTCGTTTTATAGGGGCCTTTTTACTTACCCAAAACTACTTTGGTGGTTCCTTACTATAGTTATAGTATAATGGGCCCCAAAACCCTATTATAATTGTTAAGGCCCCTACATGAGGGTTTCGGGTTTTCTCCAAACCCGACACGGCCAAACTCCAAAACATCGTCAAAGCAAAACCTCCAAAGATGCCGCTCGCCCTAGCTTGAGACCTTCAGCCCAATGCCCTAAACCCTGAAAACATAACGCTGAAAGCAATGAGCCCGAAAGCCTCAAGCCTAAGCCCTAAACCCTCAAACTCTAACCCCCTGAACGCCATAAAACCCTAAACCCCTAGACCCTGAACCAATTAACCCCTAAACCCGAACCCCTAAACCCCTAAACCCGAACCCGTAACCTTTGCGCCACTAAGCCTTGAAAAACCCTATAGACTATAGATCCGTTATAGGAACCCTTATAGATCCCCTTATGGATCCCCTGTAGACCCTCAGCTGCCAGAAAGCCCGCGAGGACTACGAGGCAGGAGGTCCCAGGAGGTCGCCTGCTTGCAGCTGCTGCACTTGGAGGATCAGGGGACGTAGTAAGCAAGGATATAAGGGTCGCTTTAAGGGATCTATAGGGGTACTACAAGGGTTTATTTAGGGTCTAGTTGCAGGATCATGGGACTTAGTAAGTAAGGTTGTAAGTACCCTAATTGGGGTTATAAGTAGAATTATTGCTATAGTTACCCTATTTATAACCCCAATTACTAAGTCGCATGATCCTCCAAGTACTGTCGGGGTTTAGTTTCTGCAACTTCGGGTTTCTGGATTGAATATTGAATCTAGGGCATAGTGTTTAGGGATTCAGGTCTAGGGTTGAAACAGCTTCTGCGGTTTACGGTTCGGGGCTTTCCGGGCCTGAGGCTCTAAGGTTATTTGCTTTTGGCTTCTCGCGTTTATTCCGGGCTTTAGGGCTGAGGGATTTTTGGGGTTCAGGTTTTCTAAGGCAAAAGCCCCATGCCCACAGCTAACCCTGAACGTCGATCCCCACGCACCCGCTCCTAAATCCTACGCCGAGATCCCAAGCCACTTGTGCTACATAAGCCCCAGTGGTTTGTTTCTGAGGTATGCATACATGGCTTTCCTAAAGCCGCTGCTAAGTAGGGGTCGGCATGGTCAGGAATACTCGTCTCTAGGGCTCCCTGTTATGACTGTACTGTAATATGGGCCTAAAACTGGATTCTGAGTATTGAAGCCCCGACAGTACTCTCCTTTGCCCTACCCGCAGGCCGTGTCCTGTCCGGCTCAACTTCTTGCGGGTCTTGAGTCGGGTGGGGTAAAGTGTCTTATGGGGCAATGCTCGGGCTGTTATATAATTAGCTAAGGCCCAAATACTTCCCCCATGCATGCTGTGTTTCGAAACGAGAAATGGATGGTGCCATTGGAGATCGCTTTATCACTTGGCCCTTTGCCGAACAAACAGATACCTCTGAACTTGAAAGATTGCGTGGCTGCCATTTGTGAAGCACTGTCCTGGAACACATGCAGTCGCTCGAACTGATGACAACATTCCTTAAGTTTTCTACGGCTTCTTTTTGCAGTTCAATGAATATCTCGAATTAAGTGGTATTAGTCTCTGTAGGCGTTGGTCATCGAGTAGAGAAAGCACGTAAGGAAGCTTCAAATCATGTGCTGCCAGGCTTGGCTCCAAATCGAGTGCACGAAACTCGAAGCCGATAACTTAAGCCTGCAATCCTGTGTTTGAAACTGAAGCCCGACATGTTCTGAAGCTTTTATAACCTCAATGTGGTCAAGGGTTTTGGGCTTGTGCTGTAGGATTCGAGGCCCGGGGTTGCTGGGTTGTGGGAGGCGCTTGTAATCATGACCATGAGCAGTGTCACACGCAATAAAACAAACGCAACGTGCTCCTTGCATCAACACTATCGGTGCGCTTGGACCTTAATTGCATGGACCTGCCTGGCTCGAACAAGACGCCGACGTCGAGTGTTTTGTGAGTAAACAGCACATGCCTCATGCTGACAGAAAGAGTGACGATAACAGTGCCAGACAGCAACAAAAATGACAGCAAAACAAAAGATTGCAGCAGCAGTAACTATGCAACTAGTACACGCAGTTGTCGCGTTCTCACTGTCAGTCAGCTTAAGAAGATACTCTATAGTAGCACTTGCAGCATCGTAGTAGTGGTAGTAGTAGTAGTAGGAGTAGCAGTAGTGGTAGTAAGAGGAGGAGGAGCAGAAGCAGTTGGTAGTGGTCGTTGTAGTGGCGGCGGCAGTGGCCCCAACTACAATATGGCCTGCGAAATCCCACGACTTTAACACCCCCAGGGCCAGAACCGAACGCCCCGCACCTACGTCCCGAAACCCCAAACTAAACTTGAAATTAAGGTATCCCTAAATTTTGAATCCCAGCACCACAAGAAGATTTGCTTGTCTGGAGCTCCGAGGTACGGCCAACTGCCGAACTTCCAGGGTGATCCAGTTCTTCCCAGCAGGGACCGGGCGACTTTGGCCGCGGGTTTGTTGAAGGTGCAGGTCCAGGTTTCAGGTTTAACGGGGCTCAAGGTTTTGGGCTTAGTTCTATTGTCATTGATCGCTTTCGGGCTTGGGTCTTTCGAGAGCTTATTGAATACACCTTCAACTTTGTGACGGATTCGTTCTTTCGTGGCTTCTTGAAATCTGGAGGGCCCCTAAAGGACCAGGGGATCTAGTAAATCGGTTACAAGCTTAAGTTCAAGTACCCGAGCTGTGGCATCATAGATTTGGCCTCGCTTCTCTCTGGGTGGTTGTCAAAATTATGGTCCCCCTTTTGGGTACCCTAAATATAAGGTGCCGTACTATATTAGGGACCCAAAAAAAACCACAACCACCCATATAACCTTCTTGTTAAGTCCCCTGAGCCTGGTCCAACATGTCAGTCATAACTTGAATCGTAAGAAATCACGCCCCAAAAGCTTGTGCAGTGTGTATACTTGCTCGGGCTGTGGCCCATCGTGCTTCTGTGGTTGTAGGGCAAACCAAGGTTGCAAATCCCACAGCCGACAATCTAGCTTAAAGTTTTAGATCCCACAGTCTCAACGACAAGTCGCCTAGCCCCCGAGCGCCTGTGGCGACTTGAGAAGGATTTGGAGCTAGAAGTGGGTTGTGGGATTCCATTGCTAGCTTCGGGAACCGAGTACTGAGGGACTTATGTATGTCAGACAAACCCCGAGCGTAAAAGTTATCGGGTTTAGGATGGATGTCTTGGCATTCTGTGAAGAGTCCCAGGGTGGTGTTGGAGTGCTCTAAGCACGGGCCGTTCTCCGTGAGATCTGAGTCTTGCATTTCTTGCAAGGTCAAAGTCTGCGCCAGACAGGGAGGAAAGTCACATCTCCTCAGCCTTTTTAGGCTTCCAACCCGTTCTGAACCCCTAGATGCACACAGCGGCAGCTTGCAAGCCCCTGAGATGAGGAGATTACCTTCTCTTCGCAATTTGTAAAGATGCCTCAGTGTCTAAGGTCTAAGGTCTTATCAAAAATAGCTTTGGTTGAGACCGCCGTGAAGTACTCGAAGGGCCGTGGGGCATAGCAAGTAGGTCCTAAATACAGATTTAGGTAATCCTACACCCCAAACCCTAGGCCCTCATCTTCTAAACCCCAATCCCGAAAATGAATTCCCTACAAGTGCCTCCAAGACGAATCACACGTCCGCCCCAGGTGACCATGGAGACGCCAGGCGTTGTGCGCTCGCACTCTGTGCCTCTGAAGACACTTCGTCCTCTGAGGGTAAGGCTCCGTCTACCGGTTTTATAAAGCTACGTTGTTTTTAGGGTTTAGGGTTTAGGGTTTTGGGTTTAGGGTTTAGGGTTTAGGGTTTTGGCTTTTGGGTTTCCTGGCCGCCTGACGTGGCAATGCTGCTCCTCCTGCTGCCGCTCCTGCTGCTACTGCTGATGCCGTCCACAAAGTAGATAGCTGGCTAGCCAGATAGCTAGATAGCTAGACAGTTAGTGGGATAGACAGATTGTATGTAAGTTCATAGATCGATAGAGCATTAGATCGTTCGATCGTTAGGTCGTTAGATCGGTAGACCGATAGATTGGTACATCGATCGCTAGATGGGTAGGTAGGTAGCTAGTCAGCTAGATGGATAAGTAGGTGAGGTCGGTAGAGCGTATGTGGGGTTATAGAGATCGACCGATCGACCGGTAGACAGACAGATGGATGACAGATGGACCAATGGACCGATAGACGGACAGTTCGACAGCTCGCTAGCCAGCCCACTAGCCAGCTAGCTAACGAAGGAAAGATAGACGGGGGGCTTAATAATTACCTATACAATTTTGGGGGTTCTTTATTACAATTAATAATGGGTGCCAAAAGCTTATTCTAAGCATTAAGGCCCCTGTAGTAGGGGCTCGGTGCTGATTTGTGAAGCCGCGACTTCTCGAAGCAAAAAGCCTTGTGCCTCCAAGGTGCCGGTCATCTCCCACGACTCTCCAAGCGCCCCATCTGTGATTTCGGGGTCATGCGAGTTTAGGGAATGGGGTTTGGCGTTCTTTGTTATAGTTGGGTTAAGTTGGGTTTACACAGGGTGCCGCAGTATTTGCAGGGTGAGTTTGGGACAAGATGCTGCAGGATTTGTCGTCATACTAAAAGTATTTTAGTGGTTTGTAGGGCTGAGGGGACGAGGGCCTGAGAGGGTTCAGGCAAGGGGGCTTGCAAAAGGTTCGCTCCGAGGGTTTTGGTTTGCTACATGAAGATGTAGGCGGTTGTGAAGTTCGCCCTAAACCCTAAACCCGTGGATCAGTCAACCTGGAGACCTAACGCAAATCGCAAAAAGCTTTCGCACGTCTGCAGGAGATCCACAAGCAACTCTAGGAGCATACCTCAACTCCTAAACCTCTAGACCCTAGCCCTAGACGCAACCCTATAGACCCTATGCAACCTGATTCGAATCATTCAGGGCCCAAGCCTCAAGCCCAAAAGAACCCCACATCCAGGCCTCTTAACCTAAAGCCTAAAGCCCTTTAAACTGTAAAACCCTAAACCTTGCAAAGACCTTTGTGAACCCGTAGTAACCCCATTTCACTTGCAAGCCTCCACCCCTAAACCCCTAGCCTTAACCCCTAAACCCCCAAAAGCCTTGTCTTAACCCTCAAACCTGAAACTTCAAACTCCCTAAACCATAAAGCCTAACCCGCAAACCTGAAACTTCAAACCCCCTAAAAAAAACCCTAACCCCCAAAACCTGAAACTTCAACCTCTAAACCCCGAGCCCTCGGGGCTCTGGAGGAGGACGGGCCCGGTCCCCCCGGAGCCCGCGACGCCGAAAGGCTCAGGCCAGTTGCGGAGAGTTTCGTGTGAGGCTTGAGCTTTATAAAAAGGATCCTACTATTTAGGGTACTATATTGGAGTCCCCTGTTTTGGGAAACTCCCCGAGGGAGCTTTGTCATTTGGGGTGGTACTATAAGGGCCTTAAGAATTACCTATGCTATTTTGGGGGTTCCTTAATCTATGTGAGGCTTGAGCTTTATCATTTGGGGTGTACTGGGAGGATCAGGGGACTTAGTAAGTAAGGTCATAAGTACCCTAGTTGGGGTTATAAGTAGTTAAGACCCCGTAGTTCTATATGTTATAGGATCCTTAAGGGAGGGTGGTTCAAGGGGGGAGGGTATAAGGAATCCTTAGGGGACTGTAAGGGAACCTTAGGGAGTACTAGGGAGAATTAGGGATCACTAGGCTAGAAACCCCCCTTGGACCCCCCTCCCTTAAGGATACTACAAATATGGGTGGTTGTCAAAATTATGGGACCTTTTGGGTCCCTATTTTCATACGGCACCTAATATTTAGGATACCCAAAAAAGGGACCCTGATTTTGACAACCACCCATTTGGGGTGTACTATAAGGGCCTTAATGATTACCTATACTATTTTGGGGAGTCCTTAATATATCTGTAGTATCTTGGGCCCAAGACCCTATTCTGATTATTAAGGCCCCTATATTAAGTTTGAAGATCGTGTAAGGTGGAAGTCTCACGGTTGCGGAGCCATGGTTTTTGTTTAGGCAACTCGATGCAAGGGCCATATGGGAGTTTCCGAAAATTAGGGGTACCTTGTTTTGGGGTCCTTATAATAAGGATCCTACTATTTAGGGTACTATATTAGGGTTCCCTATTCCTTGGTATGTGCGGGAGTCCCGAAATCACACCGTGCATCTTGGCTCTGTTCTTTTACATGTACCTGCCTTCAATCCAGTTCGAGACAAGAGAACCAAATCGCTTGAAGCCAGTATAGATGCAGGGCTTAAGCAAGTAGTGTTAGTACTGCGATTTCTTAGGGTTCCTGAAAGTATCGCTGATTATGTGGGCCCCTCAGTTTTCTTTTGTATGCTTGAGGACGCGGACGGGCTCAAGTGGCTGGAGGAGATGTGCACTGCATGTTCCGTAGATCCAAGGGCGAAGCAAGCCCTAAAACCCGAAAGCCCCGAAGTGAAAGGCAACCGGACAACCCTGAACCCAACGCATCCTAGACTGTAACATAGGGGTCTGCACCATTTGGAATAACATTCCCCATATAGTCCTAGTATGCTGCTAAAACTGTCTTCTACTGAATTGGTAAGGTCCCTTTATATTTTATCCCGTAGAGCTCTGTAAACCTCCAGGGAACCTAGTGCTCAGGCCACAGGCGTATGAGTTACGGCTTTTCGGCTTTAGGAAGTCGGTCTGGGTGGTGCGCTCTGGCGCTCTAGTGGTTCAGGGGTTAGGTTTAGGCTTTAGGGTTTGGGTTAGGGGTTTGGGGTTTAGGGTTTAGGGTTGTGTTTGGTGTCGGCCGCAATTGACTCCTCAACCCTACACCCTTGATCAGGACCCCGAGCACTTGCAAGTCCTTAATGCCTACGAAGCTTCCGAAGACCGAATCTCTACACCCGAGGCCCCAACCTCAAATTTCAGGTTGTATTATATATAGTATTCATATTAGTATTAGTATAAATATTAGCATTAATATTAATATTAGTATTAATATTAGTATTAGAACTAATATTAGTAATAGTGCTATCAAACTGGACGCTGTGTTCGAGGAGTCTGCGCATGCGTCGGTGGATATCGTCGAACAGTTGCAGACCGAGGATTCAGGCCACCCGGGCGCTTTAGGCTTTAGGGCTTTAGGGCTTTAGGGTTTAGGGTTTAGGGCTTTACGGTTTAGGGTTTAGGGGTTCAGGGTTTAGGGTTTACGAAAATCCCGACACGAGCAACCCTGCACATCAGCCTTTTGTGGGAATTGGTGAAGCGTGCGGAGACTTGACTGTCCTTCTTGCAGGGCTTCTTCAGATCTTGCATTATACCCTAAACCCTAAACCATATAGAGCTTGTGATAGGACACATGCAAAGTTTCGAGGAAGTTTTCGGAAGCTTTCACCCTTGCAGCTCTAGCGGAGGGGTGCAACCTGCTACGGCCTAAAATCGTCGAGGCCCTACCCGACCCTACACCCTGAACTCGAAAGCCCAAATGCAGGACCCTGAAGCCCAAAGCCCTGAATCCCCGAACGCAAACTCCTAAACCCGAAACCCTAGACAAACCACTGCAGAGCAGCAAGCCCAAAGCTTTGCTGAGCGAGGCCCCGGCTCCAGTGCGGCGCTGTACTCGCACCTGGGGCTGGGACGGTTAGGCTTTAGTATAGGGCTTGATAGGGTTGTTATAGGGTTAGTAGAGATTAGTAGGGTTTTCCAGCGACGCTAAAGGGTTTTGGTTTGGAAAAAAGAAGGTTTCTAGAGTTGTGGGGTTTTGATTTTTCGGTTTGAGGGCTTTCAGCATGTAGGCCTACGCAGGCTCTGGATGTGGAGTTTTGGGCAAAGTCCTGGGGCTTAGGGTTCAGCAGTTGATTGGTTTAGGACTCAGCGTTCAGGGTTTTGGGGTTGAGGACTAAGGGTCTAGTATTTGCGGTCTACAGAGTCACGGCGAGGTTTGTAGGCTTGCGGGTTTTAGAGTTAAGGCTTTGGGCATAGGGCGGTTTTTCAGGGGTGTATGGAGCTCTGAGCGTTTTTGGCGTTTTGATCCACGTCGTGCCTAAGAACTTGAGGCTTAGGGTGCTTGTGGGCTCCAAGCTGGATGGTCGGCCATAAAAAAAAAGCCTCGACATTGTGATTATTGGGCAGGGCCCCGTTGTGCTGGCCACCGGCCGGACCTCAAGGGCTTTGGGGTTTGGGGTGCAGCGTCAGGTTCGGCAAGGGCTCCCGACCAACTAAAGTTAAAGTCCGGAAGGAATCACTGAAGCCTTAAATCCTTGAGCTCAATTGACTGAGAGGCTTCTGGTACAGCTTCACCGCTGAACGGGGTTGTGAAAGGTTTGGAGTTTACGCAGAGTTCCGAAACCTTGAGCCCCCCGGCCCCACGTGCTCCGAGGCATTTTTGGATGCTGCGAAAGGTGCAGCGAGGCTTCTCGATCGTGGGCTGCTCTTATAAGGGGGATCACTTACTCCTCTGAGTTCACCAATGTGCTGTTTTCATTGATTCTCGAAGCGGTGGGATGTAGTTGCTTGATTTCGAGTTCGTCGGGCGTTTTGCGTTTGAGAGTGCTACAGACTTTGAGGTTTGCTGTATGTCGAAAGTTTGGGAGTCTTCATCAGAAAATGGCAGCACCTGAAACCCTGAACCTAGAATGCTAAACCTTCTTCGTACCGCAGGTTGCCCGAACAAAGCTTCGCGAATTGCGGTTTCAAGCATGGCATCCTTCTGCGCCGTCGCTGAACTTGGGCCGCTACCCTGAACCTGAGACCCGAAGCCTGAAGAACACAAAGTAACTACTAAGCTTTAAGCTTCAAAGCATGACGGATCCTGAACCTAGTTTTTCCATTACAGGTTATATAATGGTTCTTGAACCAGGGTGTCGAAATGGTCTTGGTTCTTCTGGTCCTGCTCCGGTGCCAGGCTATGCGTGCTTCGACGCCTACGCCCGGATCAGCCTCGCCGTGTCTGCACAACAGCTGCTTCTGGTGCCCTGGAGTGCATCGAGGTCGAAGGACTCGAAGCCCCAGCAGGATTTTCATTGCGTTTGGGTTTCTAGGCTCTGTAATAAAGCGTTGAAACCTAAACCCAGGACCGTGAATTTAGCGCAGATTCGTTCATGTCAGACTTGGACCAGCCTGTTCGCATCCATTTGCTGCCCTCCTAAACCCTGAAGCTTGCAACCAAAAGAGGCATAGAGGCCCGCATCGCCAGCCTCGTTGCCCGTGGACCGACCGACCACACAAGTCCGGATGAAGCTTGCAAACCGCACTTCACACTGCCAACGCTTCAAATCTTGAACATCATGCCCTTCTTGCATTAGGACTCCATAACAAACCACATCATAAACTCCTGAGTGCGCTTCTTGTATTCCGGGTTCAAAGAGAAAAAGAAAAATCATAAACTCCTGAGTGCCCTATGCTTTGGATCCTTGGAGCCACCACCGGAAACCTCCAAGACCGAAGCCTCCTCTTGGGTGGTTGTCAAAATTAGGGTCCCTTTTTGGGTCCTTTATAGAATATGGCACCTACTATTGAGGGTACCCCAAAAAGAGACCATAATTTTGACAATCACCCACTTGGATGTAAAAGAACGGCCCTGACATTTCTAAGGGGAACAGAGGCGAGACTAAGAATGGCAACGAGGATAGGATGTGGGTACCAGGGTAGATCTCAAGGCTTCGCATGACTTACTTGCTGCCCAGGTCGAGGCATACTACTCCCTGGGCCACTTTATGTCGAAGTCGGACGGGTGGCCTTCTCCCGTCCAGAACACGGAGGCTGAGATGTGAAGAGCTTGTTTCCTTCAAACTAGGGGGTTGGGCCCTTTAGAATTGTCCTTATTGCAAGGATCCTACATTTTGGCACCCTTCTTTTTCTCCGCGCTTTAGCGGTCCCTGTATGGAGCTTGTCATGCCCCTAAAAAGCTTCCCGCGAGTATTTGTCATGTAGCACTCCGACCTGTGTCCTTCGATGTGTACGCTGCAGCCTTCAGACCACTATGTGGTTTGGCAAACCCCCCAGCTTAAAATCCTAAACCCTCAACTCAAAGCCCATGGACCCTAGAAGCCTCAAGCTGGGAGGGAGCCTGGCTGGCGTTGCTGTCGGGCGTCTACGCTTGCTGGATCCTCTTCAGGAGCTGCGGATTTAGAGGGTGGCTTTAGGGTGTTCTCTTGGGAGGAGTTCACCGGAGGGGTGTTTCAAGTTTTGGGTTTAGGGTTCAGGATTTTTATAGTTGAGGGCTTTAGTGTTAAGGCCTCAGGGTTCAGGGTTTGCGGTCGAAGGCATACGGCCTATTATCTAGGCTTAAGAGTGTAGGATGAGAGGTTCCCCGGCTTCTGCTGATGTTCAGTTGCAGGCTTGCGAGGATCTTGCGTGTTTTCTTCATTGTAGTGTCTGTGCGCACACAGACTGTCTCTGTCTCTGTCTCTGTCTCTGTCTCTGTCTCTGTCTCTGTCTCTCTCTCTCTCTGTCTCTCTCTCTCTCTCTCTCTGTCTCTCTGTGTCTCTCTGTCTCTTTGTGTCTCTCTGTCTCTCTGTCTCTCTGTGTCTCTCTCTCTCTTTCTCTCCTCTTTCTCTCTCTCTCCTCTTTCTCTCTCTTTCTCTCTCTCTCTCTCTCTCTCTCTGATAAAATGTGTACACATGCAACACAACACGTGCGAATGTGCATATGGGTTCTTTTATACTGTACCTTGTTCATTTTGGTCAAGTGAGTTCGAGGTTTCGGATCGGAATCAGGTTTCGCGGTGTTTTGGGGATTCTATGGGTTTCGGTTGCTCACGCTATCAGCTGAGTGCTGCTTCCGACACCCTAAGCTCCCAAACTTCGATCCTTGCCTACGTCAAAGCCGAGGCTCCCATGTAGTAGTACCCTAGATTCTGCCTTTGTTTAGTTTCGGCTTCTTTTATGCAAATTAAATAGTAGGAGAAAAGGTAGCAGTATTACAAAGGGGCTCCCCAGGAACCCAGAACCAAAGCTCGACACGTGCCTTATGCGCGCAGGCTGGATCTGTATCTCAAGAAGAAGTCGCTTGGCCAGGGCTTGAAGAGCTAGGACCTCCTTTTTTCGGGGACCTCCAACCACGTGTTCTGTGTTCGGAGGGTCAAGGCATGTAAAAAGCCCAGACTTCAACACCAACTCTAAACCTAAGTTACTCCAGTCACGGTCAGCCGCCCAACCCCCGATCGGCTTCACAGTGACGTCCACCACAACGATTCTACACTGAAGTTTAACAAACGCCTACAGCACCATCGTCGCCACCACCGGCAGCGGCAGCAAAACCACAATCCCTCAGTTTGGGGTTGTCCAGCTCCATCGGCCCAGTTGGTGCTTCAGGGCTATTGCAGGAAGCGGGCGGTCGCAATCTATATTCTGATAGATCTGACCTGCGCACGCAGGCAGCAGCTCCAACATTGCAGGTCCCCTTTAGCCAACAAAAGCCCCAAGCCCTAGACATCCCTAAACCCCAAACCTGTAAACCCTGTAAGCCGTCAAAACCCTCTAAACCTGAACTCTTCTTAGCACAAAGCCCGGGCCTTAAACCCCAAACCTGTAAACCCTCTAACTCTAAACCCTAAACCCTCTAACCCTAAACCCTAAACCCAAAACCCTAAACCCTAAACCCTAAACCCTAAACCCTCTAAACCCTAAACCCTAAACCCCCCCAACCCCAAACCCTAAGGCAGAGGCTCCTTGTGCAGATCGGTCTCTGGTGCCTTGGACTCTTAATCAGTTCGATTTAGGAGTTATGGTTTAGGGTTAGGGGTTTAGGGTTTAGGGTTTAGGGTTTAGAGTTTCCGTGAATTTGGGGGTACCTTACTTGGGGGCCCTTATAATAAGGATCCTACTATTTAGGGTACTATATTAGGGTCCCCTATTTTCGGAAACTCCCATTTTGGTCTTGAGGCTTGGGGCATGGGTTGTGGGTTTAGCCCGAGGGGGATGAAGCCCTCAGTCCTGAAGTTCTTTCGGCAGATGCTTCGGCTCGATTTCGGGATTTGAGGCTTTCAAGACTGAACAGGTGGAGTTTAAATCGATTAGGAGTGTTGAAGATCAGGGTGTCAGATTATTTGGGAATCTGCTAGTCTTGTGAGATTTGCGTAGTGCGTTAAGTAAATCAGTAGCTGCCTAAACCCTAAACCAAACCACACCGCCTACAAGCACCCAACAGCCTCGCAACACCTACAACAAAAACGAACGTCAAACACCCTAAAGATACGTCAAAACCAGAAACACCCTCAGCACCGTGAAAATCCTAGAAGCCCCCAAACTCCTACACTCCTGGAGTGTGTCGAGTCTCCCAACACCCCGAGGCTGGCGCCTCTGACTGCCGCCTTCGCCACGCAGCTGTTCAACATCCGTACCTAGGATTCCAAGGAGTACCCTTCTTTGGGGTCCTTTAATTTTGAAGCTAACCGGCAGCTTAATGGATTAGGTTCCGGAATGAATGAAGGGTTCCATAGGTTTGCTATAAGGGTTCACCAACTTAAGGCGCACACCGTGTTGTACATGAAGGCTCTTACAGGACTTGCCAGGCTGCTACAAGGGTGTGATGCTGGTTTTCGCGTACGTACCTTTGCTCTTCAGGGTTTTCTAGTGTGTCAGAAACGTCTTAAAAGGCCCTAAACCCTAAACTAAACCCCAAACCCTAAACCTGTTAATAAGGGTATGTTAGGGTCCTATAAGACTTTTACAGGGTTGAGGGTACCTAGGGTTTTCAAGAGATTCCCTTTGGGGAGTTCCATGAAGCGTTCTGGGTTTCTATACGGGGTTCAGCATCCGAGTCGATCGATCCATCATCATTGAAGATCAAGGCATCATTTAGGATCAGCTCCTGCCCCCTAAACCCAAAACTTGCCTTCTGCCTTCTGCAGGCACGAAGCATGGAGAAGGAGGTGTCAGGCCATGCGACCAGGCCAGCGATGCGAGTTTCAGGGTTGAAGGGAGGGTTTAGGTTTAGGGTTGACGGGCGTTGGGTCCGGGAACTCAGGTTGAGAGTTTAGGGTGTGGGGTTAAGGTTTCGGCTCATGGTTTCAACTGAGCCGAAACCTCACGGATAGCGCCCCGCGTCATGTTCGTTGCTTGACGAACTAGAGCTGCCTGCTTTACAGGCCCTGCACACGTCGACTATAGGGTTTAGGGGTTAGAGCTTGGAGTATAGTAGCATGCGATCTTGCCCTACTTGCTGTGGCCTGTTGTTCATCGACTGTTGTTCACCCTAAACCCTAAACCCAAAAACCCAGTCAAATGGACATGGTCACATGTCCAATAGTGACAATAGTGCAATATGGCTTCTTCCCAGAGAGCTGCCACGGCCTGTCAGCTCCAAACTGTCTTGACAGCTTGAAAGCGCTGGCACCGCAAGTCTTGGACCTCCAAACCGAAACCAAGGCCTACAGCCCGCTAAACCTCAACCCCTACGCCTGTAAACTCCTAACCCCTGTGGCTCTCCTCAGCCCTAAGCCCCCGCCTTCAAGGACCCTAAAAAGATAGGGCCCTGGGGTAGGTAGTGCCCTGCTGGGTGCCCTGGCTGGGCGCGATCCTGGCCTGCCTTTGCCAGACCCTCAGGGGAGGGACGTCGGCAGGAAGGGTTCAAGCCTTTCGGCTCAGGGTTTTCGCCCTCAGCCACCTCAAACCCAAAAGCCCGAACCAGAGCCCTAAACCCTAAAACCTGAGCCGAAAACCCTAAACCCGGAAAAGGGTGCTTAAGAAAGAAAAACCCCAAAACCTCAAACCTAAGAACCTAAGCCGTAGACCTTATGCTAGAATCCAAGAGGCCACTTCTTTCGGATTTTGATCATCTGTATAAGTTGGGGGGTTCCTTATTGTAACTAGAGTCTAATGGGCCCCAAAACCCTATTATAATTATTAAGGCCCCCAATTAAAGCCTAAACTCCAAAAGGCCACTTCTTTTGGATTTTGATCATCCTCTACGTCTCCACACCGGTTCTGGCCACCGCAGAGCTTCCCGTGGCTTGGCCCTTTGCTTTCGGGTGTGAGATGGTGTGCTGTAGGGTTTGGGATGGTGTAGGTTTTAGAGTCTTGCGTCTAGGGGTTTAGGGTTTAGGGTTTAGGGTTTAGTATTTAGAGTTCAGGGTTTGGGGTTAATACTGGCCACGGGGTTTCGGGCCGTTTCGGGTTGCGATTTTTATTGGCCTCTTCATGGCCCATGGGGACTAGGAGATCGGCATCCAAGGTCTCATCCCAAAGATTGGGTTCTTGCTAAGGAACTTAATTTAAGTTACTAGAATAGGGATCTATCGCGTTTCATGTCCCACAACTTGGGGTTTCCTTCAATTTAAGTTTAAGGGTTCTATAGCAGTTTTAAGGAGCTGAGTTTAAGTTGACAGAATGGTGAAACCGTCTTAATCTACTATAGATCCTTGTCAAGATGCTTAAATTAAAGGCCCCTAAACCCCAAATCCTGAACCCTGAACCCTCATGGTCAACAAGTTGGTATACGGCTTAGAAACTATACAACTTACGCGTCGTGAACAAGACCAAATCGACGCTTTTCAACTAAAACTGTTCCGGCGTGTGCTCAATATACCACCTACCCATATCGACAGAAGCTGGACAAACCAAAGAGTTGTGGACACTCTGTGGCACATGCATAAATTCAATCACGTTAAACTATCAGTTAAATGGAAGCAGAAAAAACTTACCTTATTAGGCCATATCCTGAGGGCACCACATAGTGACCCAATGCGGGAAATACTGTTTCAACCGGGAAAGAGAATTCCTAGAAGCGAGCATGTGCGTAGGGTCGGCAAACCGAGAGCAAACTGGCTTCTAGACACATTCGTAGAAGCATATGCATTTTTACATCCTCAAGCACGCTTCGATGAAACCGCCCCTGCGCTTTGGAACGAAATAGCAGACACGGCCATGCGCCGCGAACCCCCTTTCAAACCAAAGGTCAACGAAGCCTGAAGGAGAGCCGGAGAGCCACCTGATAATGCGATATTACGATTAACAAATCAACGAAGATTTCACCGAAGATGTCATCGAATATGTCATCGAATATGTCGTCGCTAAGCCTACGGAATCATTTCAGTGAGAAGGTTTTTGCGATTATCACCGAAAGTGTCACCGAATATGTCATCGAATATGTCGCCGACGAAGTGACATTGTAAAGGATTATAGTCAATGATAATGCAAAACGACCGTTATCTATGATCCCTAAACCCTATCTTACCCTATCCAACTTTTCATGAGCCCCAACTCCAATATCCCTGTACACAAGCGCTTGTGGGACCCTTCAGTCTACTTGCTCGATGCGGCAGTGGTGTAGCCAAAGTTTTCCCATCTTTTGTGCAGATCTCCGCAGATCTCCTCAGCCTCTGATAACAGATGGCTGCAATCCTTTCCCGAAGTTGAGCAACGCTCAGCGCCTTGTGGAGCTGCGTATCAGTGAGTGAGTGAGTGAGTGAACCCTCATGGTGCTTAAGTTAAAGGCCCCAAGAAGATCCCCAAACCTCCGATACCTCCGCCAGGTGGCCTTCCGATCTGCGATCTACCTCGATGTGTCCCTTGCTTGAACGAAAGACCCAAAGCTTTCCTCATCTCAACCCTAATCTCTAAGCTCTAAACCCTAAACCCCAAACGCTAAACGCTAAACCCTAAACTCTAAACCCTAAACCCCAACCCTATCAGCCCAAAGCTTTCCTGAGCTTGGCATGCAACCTGAACCCGAAACCTCTGGGCCCGCCAGCCCTGGATTCTAATCCCGAGGCCCGAAAGCCTCGCCCCTCCACGTATGTTTGAGGCCAGGCCCTGCTTTGGGTTTAGAGGTTCGCAGTTCAAGGCTTACGGTTTGGGCCATGGGGCCCCGATGTTTTTTCAGAGTTGGGGGTCCAGGCTTCCGCAAGGCTTCTCGCGTGTCTTCGTCTCAGGTTCGGCTGGCACAGCAAGTACTTCAAGCCGTCTCTAGTGCCTTGGAATCTCACCAGAGGAGCCAGAGCCCAGAGGGTCCATATAGACTACCATGATGGAATCACGTCCCCTACACTATTTTAGGATGGTCTTTTGGGGCCTAACTCCATAATGGTAGTGCATATGGACCCTCTTGGGAGGGGGTCTTCGGCAGTCGTTCCTTTGTCAATGGCTTCGGGGGAGGGTGCACACCAGAAAGTTTGGAGCCTGATCTTCGGTTTCAGTGCAGATGCTCGCAGTATTGAGTCGTTGGGCCCAAAACCACTGTAGATCCTAAACTTACATTGAAACCCCAAGCCCTGTACCTCAGACCCTTCGTGCAAAATCCGAAGCCATAGACCATAAATGGCTGTATGGGGGGGGGGGGCAGAAGGAGTTTTGAACATAATGAAGTGCAAGTACGCGCCCAGAGTGGGTCATGCTTAGATGGTTTCCAATCTACTTGCGGAAGTCAGCAAGCCCGGTTTCTTAAGAGCAGAAAAACTCTGAACCCCAAATCTCAGCCCAAATTACCGGAAGTGTACTGTGAACCCAGAACCCTGAAGTCATTCTTGAAAGCCCCCCCAGATGTAAATCCGGAGCCCCGCACTGCAGCAAGGTCCACAATGCCAAGGGTGACATCACGCATTGGGAGGCCTCACCCAGCTGTTTACGGTGCTTCGGGCTTGAGTCAGGAAAGTGGGGCGGAAGTTTCGGAAGTACGTGTAGTAGGCTTAGGATGCCAATTTCAGCATCTTGCCGGTTTAGGGTCCTAGCAACACTGCCTGGCACGTGCATCAAATGATTCCAGTGCCACGCGAACTAGAGAACCAGTCCAGGAAGATTTGGCCAGCCCACGGCCATGTCACCCTGAACACGAGTGCGATAGGACGGCGATCTCGAAGCCCCTGCATAGCCCTCAGACCTACAACCCGGAAAATCGCCCTTGCGCTCTTTTCTCAGTCTCTACGCAGAAATAGCACTGCTGGTCCGCAGTGCTATTTCTGCGTAGAGACTGAGAAACCTAAACATCGAAACCCAGGAGAGCTTCGCTACCCTGGGCCCGAAACCCAAACCCCTAGCAGTACTTGGGATCGTGGTCGCCACTAATACAGTGATCATTTTTTCCAAGTTCACAAAGGGCCCCTTCTTTCGGAAACCTTCGCAAGCGACCTTAAAACGGGGAGGCTTCAGATATGATGCAGTCGCCCGTGCCAGCGGCTGAGCTGGAGCAGGCGCGTGACGGGCCGGTGAGGGTTCTGGGGTGCGAGTGCTAATTTTTAGTGACGGGGGGGTTTGCCGCAGGCACCTGGACAGTCGACGCCGTAGTTCCCTCTGTCTAATTTTGGTCTCTAGCATTGACTACCCTATAAAGCTTGGAGGATGTCTTTCTGGTTCCGACACTAACCACAAAGGTCCCTTCTACGGCAGTCACATGAGCTGAATGGCCTTAGCAACCTCCCGCCAGAGACTACGGCATTCTGGAACTTACTGTGCGACACGGAGGCTGAATCGATGCATACCGCACTACAGTGCTTGGAAAATTGAGCGCACTAACAAACCGAATTTTCCATGACTTCAGGCTGTTGAATTGGGCAGGACATCGCTGTATATGTTGCTGCCTGTGCCCGAATATAGACTACAGAGCGTGCTCACTTGAACGCTTAAGCGGAGGCCTCTGAAATTTCATCTGAACAGTGAGGCTGCGGTTCCTTACCCTGAGCACTAAACCCTGAGCCACTACAAGATGGTGTCGATCATTCGGAGATTTGGGCAGCTAGAACAAGTGTTTACTTGGAGAGGTAGTGCCCCTTTGAGGCCGTTTTACTCATACAGTATACAGTATACAGTATACACCTATTCACTGATACTGCAACAACACCCGAAGCCCCATTCTGCTTGTTTAAGGCACCTCTATGAGGCAGGGTCACAGTTTCTCTGGTTAGATTCATGCCTGCGGCTGCAAAGGGAGTTTCCAAAAATTGGGGGTACCTTGTTTGGCGGTACTTATAATAAGGATCCTACTATTCACGGTACTGGATCAGGGTCCCCTATTTTCGGAAACTCCCAAAAATCCCAGAGAACAAGATGCCGAACAGCACCTGGGACAGCGCATGCGCCACACGCAGAGCTGATCGTGTTGGGATCGATTCCTAGATTCCCTACCCCAAGCCGTAGTTGCCCACCACCGATGCAAAAAAGTAGATACAGCGGAGGATGACCAACGGCGGGTTTTCGTCGCATTCAAGGCTCGGACGAATGCATAGTTTGCTTCTTTGAGGGTTGAGGAGTTTGCGGATTTCCGGGGCAGGGCTTCGGCATGTCGGGGTTTATGGGCTTCTGGTTCAAGCTTATCTAAGACATTTACAGGTGGGTAGTTATAAGGTGGGTAGTTTCCCATAAGCCTCCCATACCACTCCTATAAGGTAAACGGGGTCTTCTGGGAGTACTATGGAAGAGGAACTACCTACCTGTAAGGGGCTTCTAGCTTAGTGCATTGTTGAATCGGAGGCTTTGGGTTGAAAGTTTGAGGCGTCGTGCAAAGTGCAACGAGGCTTCGAAGACATGGACGTCTTAAGCCTTGTGTCTATACCCTCCGTCCTCCACCTTAAGCCCCGGCCGAAACCAAAAGTCCCAGACGCTCCCCCAAAAACAATACTTAATGATACTTAATGCTTATTCCGCTTAAAGGACTTTTGAATGAAGAAAGACATATATTCAGAAAAGGTTCACAGAGATCCTTAATTTGGGGCCATTCACAGAGATCCTTAATTTGGGGCCATTGATTAGGGGACACTAGGTTCTTACCAAACTCTAAACCCCTAAACCCTGCAGAGTTCGGGTTCTTTGCCATCCCAGCCGACGCCTCTGTGAGGAGGGAAAGCGGCTTCTGCGAGGTCTCACGAAGCTCACGGATCCAGAAGTCTGCGGCTGGGTTGGGTTTAGGGTTTAGGGTTTGCGGTTTAGGGTTCCGGGTTTAGGGTTTGGGGTTTAGGGTTTAGACTTACGGATCAGGTAATATAGCGGCTTAAATAAGCACCAGTACTACTCTTAATGGTTTATAGTTCCTTGCCAATTACAGTTATAGTATGAAAAAGCCGCGAAACCCTAATTTAATCATATTGCCCATATATTGAGGGTTCAGGGTTTAAGTGTGTTGGGGCCGTAGGGCTTCAGGCAACTTGCCCTGGTTCGTAGAACCTCCCAAAGCTTTAGACCCAGAGCTCGAAAGCCAAAGCCCTCAACCTTTAATTCTAACCATGTACACCATACCCCATTGTTTGGTTTGGTGTGTAATAAGCTTTCTGTTCTTCCGTGTGTTTAAGGCTCAGGAAGTAGGGTAACGCAGCTTGCACGCATGCTGAGGCAAGCACTTCCGGGACGAGGACCTGTCCGTGCGGGTTCACAACAGCTCGGCTTGGAGGGTCTGCAAGCCTCTTCATGTATTTCGAAGCTACTCTTGGGGTTAAGGGCAGTGTAGGGTTTACAGAGTTTAGTTTGTCATTATTATTCAAAGTTATTTTCACAGCACGGTTCTTTTGGAAACTGGATGAAAGGGTACAGGCTTGGGCCGATCGGACCTGACCGTTGCAGGCCAGGCTTTACACGGGTGCAACGTTCGGTGTGAGATCATGTCATCCCACACGCGAAGATTCACTTGGAAGCATGCATGCTACCTGACTGCATAAGCGGTGGCAGCGTTGCTAGTCACACCATGCATGACTGTGGGGGTAACATTGCTAAGAACGGCAGCACAAATCAGAGCTGGTACTGTGTACAGTTTGTCCGTAAATCCTAAACCCGAAGCTCTGGACTCTGAACCCTGAACCCTAAGCCCTACCCAAACCTAAGCCCCAAACCCTAAACGGCACGGAAAGTTCAGCGCCGCTACAGGACAAGCGCCTGGCCCGGGAACTGCATGAGATCCTGCAAGAGCTTCTCAAGGACCTCTGGAAGGGTCTTCCGTTCCTTCCAAGCTTGGTGTAAAGGAAAGTTTGGGTTCCTTTGAGGGCTCCTTTGAAGGTTCCTTCAAGGGCTCCTGTTAAAGGGTTCCTTGAAAGAGATCTCATTGCGGTGGGTTGTTTGTGCTGGGGTTTGTACATCAACCAAGATTCTTTAGGCTGCTTGAGTTTGTTTGCCGCACCTCGGGCCCTACGGTTTCACACGAATCCACACATAAGTCTCGAATCAGTGAGTCTTTTGTTTCTCTTTGTGGGTGTTGTTGTGTCTACAGTCCTGGTGTAGGGTACCGCTCTGAAACCTCCTATCGCCAGGAGCTGGAAACCCAGCTATCCATGCCGCGCCTCGCCATCTAGAGTACAGGAATGTACAGGATACAATCTTCAGTGGTTAGGGCCTGGTTTAGGGTTAGGGCTTTTTTCTTGTTTTGGGTTAGGATCTAGGTTTTGGGCTAGGGGAGCTTCGATTGCAGGGTTCAGTGCGTTGGGCGTGGGGAGTTTAGCCTTTAAGGTTTGAGTCTGCTGCAAGCCAGAAACCCTAAGCCGAACAGAACGCCACACACAAAAATCCCAAACCCCCAAAGCCCAAACCCTAAACCTTAAACTCCACCTACGTGCTTAGTTCGCAGCTTACCTGCTTGGAGCCTAGTCTTCTGAGGACAAGGAGCGTTGGGATTTAGGGTTTAGGGTGTTGGTTCCTGGCGTGATCTGTAAGGACTGTTCCTGAAGCCTACACCTGCCTTTGAGCCTGTACTATAGAAGCCGAGATAGTTGAAGCGTTATTCCTGACAGGGTTCCTTGCTTTAATTGCGCTATGAAAGAGCCCAAGACCTTAATTATTCAGGCACCTACATTTGCCCGAAGCCTCAAGCCTTATACCCAAACCCCAAGCCATGGCTCACGCCAAGTCCTACAACTGCTCGCCCCAAACCCTTAAACCCTAAATCGATTGCGGGGGCAAACAGCGTAGCCCCACACTCTTTAAATCCGTAAGCAAACTCTGAAGCATTCCGCAGCCCTTCATCTCAGAAGTCTCAGACTGACGAACCAAAACCCAGAACCCCCAAGCCCGAAGCCCCAAGCACCTCAACCCAAAATCTCACTAACCCAAAGTCTTAATCGTAAGGTGGAGCCGGCAAATGAGTCGATCGTCCGATGGAATGAGCAGCATCTCGGCGGAAGATCTTTGTGTTTGTGTCCTAGTCTTCCTCTAAACCCCTAAGCCCGTGATCCCCTAAACCCCGAAACCCTGAACCACTAAACCCTAAACCACTCAAATCCCAAGCCCCGAAACCCTAAACCCCTGAACCCTCGAGCCCCTAAACCCTACACCACTAAAGCCCTAAACCTCTAAACTCCTAAACGCTTGAGGACAGACCTCGCCTTTCGGGTCGACTTGGCTTCAGAGCCGCCCTGCCTTGATTTCAGCCCGAAGGTTTAGGGTTCAGGTGTTTAGGGTTTAGGGTTTTTACGTTTTTAGGGTTTAGGGGGGCTCTTTATACGGGTTGTTCCTTTAAGGGTCAATTTTAGGGGTCTGGGGTTTAGGACTCTTTGTAAGGGTTCCTTTAGGTCTGACTTCGAACGATTCAGGGGTTCGAAGTTACGGGTTTAGGGGTGTACCGGAAACCCTAAACAGCACATGACCTCCTGGCATCTAGGAAGGCTTTGGGGATATTGTACGGTTTCTCTTCTTGGGGCTGAAGAGGATCGTATTTAGGCTACCTAGTCATGAGCTTCCAAACAGGTTTTGTAGAGCTAAGTCCGAGAAAACAGAGAGTCAGCCTCTCGGGCTTACTGTAGGGCTATGGTGATGCTCCGGGTGTAGGGTGAGCCTCGTGTGCGAAGCTTAAGATTCTCAGGTGGGACGGATGATGGCAGCGGCCATCTTCTCCCGTATTGGATCGACTGTACCAGCGGCATGATTGTCTGGCTACTCTGCAGCGATGGCACTACGTTTACGTGTTACCAAGACTATTCCTGAGTCTTCCTTACTATGGTATTCACCAAATCCTTGTTTTGCTAATTAAGGCCCGTGCATTGCATTGCAGCTCGAATTATGTATCCATGGGATCCAACAAGCGGGGACCACTTTCATACCTTGACAGTGGAGGTTCGGGATTCGGGTACAGGATTGCAGGGCCCGAGCTCTTGTAGGTGATCCTATCAGTTCCAGACCTATGCCCTCGGCGTCTGCAGCTTGTAACCCTTTCAGGAAATTTCCCTGCCAAAGTTTTAGCCCGGAGCTGTCCAGGTGCACTCTCTCCAGATGAAATCCTGTATTGTCAAATCCCGGCTTCAGACTCGACCTCCCACCCACTACCAGCGAAGATGCTGCGAAGCCCTCCCTTCTGACTCCGCCTTTTGGAGCCCCCCAAGGCATCAATGTACCAATCCGTAACTGGGAACCACCCGCAGTTGCTGGTTGGTTGCACATTTGCAGTTTTGGGTTTCAGCCTGCGTCAAAACCCAAAGTCCCAAGTGGAAGTTTCAGGAAGTCGGGGGCCCTTTAGACTTTAGCCTAAAGTAGTTGACATCAGGCTAAATTGATTACGGAGGACCCTCGAAATTGCCCACCTAGGTCGCGACCAGATGGGCACATCTTGGACTTGGTCCGCATCTGGGACTGCACCGCTTCACTCCTGCTGCAGGGCCTTCGGGCCCACGTTTAGAATCAGGTCAGGGGACTTAGTGAGATACTGTGATCTTTACAAAGGCGATCATTAACATAACTGCATCACGACTCTAGACCCTATCGAACTCGCACCGGCGTAAAGCTCCGCATGTATGAACTTTTGCAAAACCCAGTAACGCACCACAACACCCATCGAAAATCAATGCTCTTACTTTTTTGCTCTCAGGCCTCGGGCAATCCGTAGAGGAGCTGCAGGACAAGGTGAGCTCCACGGCCGACAAAACGGACCGCCCGGGGCGGTTGGAGTTTGCGCACACAAGCGCAATAGCATGGGGGGGGGGTAGGAATCCTTGAGCATTCCTTCGTGAAGGCTGTATAAGAGGCTTATAGGGGTTAATAAAGTATAGAGGTTGGAATAGCAAGTGCTAACATCCCGTTTGAGTCCCTGTGTAACTTTGCTATCATAAATCTCCCCAAGCCTCACTTCTGAGTATCCAGCTCCCTATATTACACCGTGAACCGTTGCGGCGGCGTCTGTGGCCTTGAACCCGAAGTCGAAGAAATCCGCAGGCCTCTAATGATCTCTAATGTAAGTTTCAGCAAAGCCTCGAAGCCAACAGTCGTAAACTGCCAAACGCCCATCCTGAACACAAGCCCCAGGTCCCTAATAAAGTTTACACCCCAGATTCCTAGATCCACCCTAACCCTAAACCCTAAACCCTAAACCCTAAACCCTAAACCCTAAACCCTAAACCCGAACCAAAGGAAGTCGAAGAATCCTCAAGCCTTCAGGCCCAAAGCCCGGTAAAGCCAGGCATAAGCCCACAAACCCCCACGACGGAAATCCTAGGGTTGAGGGGTTTAGGGTTTAGGTGTGATAGGGCTCAGGCTTCAGGGTTTAGGGTTGCTAGGGGTTGAGTGTTTACGGCTTAGGATTTCGGATTGTCAGGCTTTGGGGTTCGGGGCTTCAGCCGCCAGGACCATCTCATAGCCTCAGAGGCACTACCTTTCGAGCTGATGCCCGTCTACCCCGTGCCCTGGCCTTCGCGATCGTTTTCACAAAGCTCCGAGGGATGATGAAACGTGTCGGTTGTGTTACGGTTCTAAGCGCGCTTCAGTACAGGGTTTTAGGAGGGGTTGGTTTCAAGAAAGGGTTTCAGGGTCTAGGTTTCGGTAGGGATTCAAAGTTGTAGGATTTCAGGGTTTAGGGGCTTGGGGATTTGACGGATACGGGTTTCAACTTGGGCTTTGGCTTAGGCGGTTTTGGGATTTGCCAGGATTTAGGGATTGTCTGCTTGTGTGACTGCTACACTGGGAATCCGCAACTGTGCCTGTCTCTCGCCGCTTGCCCGCCTCCAGTCATGCAGACGCCACTTTCGGTTTCTCTAAGGGATCGTTGTGCAAGCCCGCAGCAAGGTTTTTGAGTTCACGACTTGCGTGCTGCGGCCTACGCCCAAAGGGCATTAAATCCCCAAAGCAGACTCACGAAGCCCTAAACCTCCTTGAGCCCTAAATCCGAGAATGCCAGCGCTAAACTCTAGACCCTACATAAGAGGTGCAATCATATCCTTTACAGCCTTAAAGCCCTAAGGACAAGGATGGCAGACTTTAAAGGCTGAGCCACAAAAGCCCTGAGGACACGGATGACAGCAGTTCCGGTCTACCTTGGAAGTGCCTGCAGCGTAGCTGTCAGGCGCAGATGGCCGCTTGCCCCACCGGATTTCTGCTTTGAGTTCCGGGTTCGGGATTTAGGGTTTAGGGCTTCGGGGCATTGGGCTTGGATATGGGGTCGAGGCATATAGGTCGGTTCAGGATGATGTTAGCCACAGGCTTTGGAACCACGAAGTCTCCGACTCTATTCGTAATCTTTCGAGGGGGGAAGCGTGCTGTTTCTGGGTTCAAAAGTCGTAAAACAGATCCGAAGATCAGACATAAGGGCCTAACGTAGGGGCCTAAATTAATCAACAATACTATTCTGGGGGTTCCTTATCAGAGTTAGGGAATAATATGCCCCCAAAACGCTATTCTAATGACATAATGATCAAGGCCCCTACATTAAAGAACGCTACTATAGATCCCTTATAGGCCCCTTTAAGGATCCCTCTGAAGGAACCCTAGTCTTAAAATTAAGGCCTCCTTATCAGAGTTAGGGAATAATTACCAAGGCCCCTATATTAACCCTTAGCCTTGACCCGCAAAGTTGCCCCACGGCCCTCAACCCTGAGCTTGCCTGGGCGGCTTGCCAGCCTTTGTACTTTGCACCCTCATCCTGAAAGCATAGTCCCTAAATTCTGAGCTCCCCTTCCAGATCCCCGATCAAGTTCCGAAAAGGCGTTTACCCAAAAAACAGCTCTAAGCTCTACGCCTATGAGGTGATCTGGATCATGTCGCTACTCGTTGTCCTCTTCGATCCCGTCTATTACGATACGCCCATCGCGCCCAGGGTGCGATCTCCAGGGGAGGGAAAGGGAGGAAGCGCAAGGAGAGTAACTCGGATGAAGGTGATGATGGTTGTGGTGGTAGAGGTGGTGCTCCTGTGACCGAAGTCTTGACGCATACCGGCCAGGAGCTCTACGACCCGCATGCGTTGATGAAGATGAAGACGGCGCCCGGGCTGCGGTCATGTTGATGTGGGGTTCAGGACTTCGTAGATTTAGGGGTTCAGGTCTCGAAGTGTCCACATGGGCTCACACGTCCGGCGATGGTAGACAGGTTGGAGCTTTTCTGTTTTGATCAACCCTTGTCCTGGAATTCAGGCCTAGTTGCGGCACAGGTTACAGCTTAGTATAGGGGTCTGAATTATTGACCTATACTTTTTTGGGGGTTCCTTATTGCATAATGGGCACCCAAAAGCCTATTCTATTTATTAAGGCCCTTGCATTAAGGGTCGAGGAGGCGACGCCTGCCAAAGGTTTTTAGCCTCAAGCAAATAGTGCCAAGGTTGCGCGGCCGACAGCTTCCTGCACTCGACTTGCAATCTTACAGAGGCCTGAACGAATAGTTGAATAGCAACGTCCTCTAGTCCCACTGCTTACACTGTAGTACTGGTTCTGTTTGTGGCACATAAAGTCGATGTAGAACGAACCTACTGCAGTGGACCGTAAATGCTAGAGCTTTACTGCGAAGGTTCAGGAAGCTCGCAACGAGACTTCAAAATCCCATAAGTAAGGAATCGTCCCTGATTTGTAGCAGGGGCCTGTCATCAGGGATACAAAGTTAAGGGGAGTTGGTGTATCCAAGCCCGCACACCCTAAGCCCTAACTGCAAAAGGTTGAATGTTAGGGCCTTCGAAGCCCTGAGCCCGAAATCCCAAGCTGAAGGAGTGGCCCCACAAGCGCTTCCGCCCCTCGGCGATCGCCTGTGCCGGCGACGACACCATCTACATCGGGGATCAGCCTCTTGTCCCTTCAGAGGTCTTCCCGGTATCAGTCTGCGTGCTGCTCATACTTGGAGGATCATGGGACTAAGTACCCTAACTGGGGTTATAAGAAGTTATAACTATAGTTACCTTATTTATAACCCAACTACTAAGTCCCATGATCTAAGTACTCCTAATGCCTCAGGAATTTGGAGCGTCGCCTTCCTTTCTCTGGCTTTGTATCGCTTGCAGCTGTCAGGGTGATTCGAGCATACACTAGCCTCGGAATCAAAAGCCATGCAGGAGATGATAGAGTTCGTGGCGATGGAGGTTGCTCCCTCCACCTAAAGAAGCTAGCTCCCATTATGATCTCTATACATCCTTAAGTCATTTAAAGAAGCTAGCTTCCGCAAGACTAGGAGAGGCTCGGGCTGCAACCTAAGGTTCGCAGTCTATGCTTCCGACCTGTACTGGACGGGCGAGAAGATCGAGGTTCACAGCGCGGACACACACACAAGGCGGATCCCAGTAGCCCCCACGCCGGGAGAAATCGAAAGCCCAAACCCTAACCTAATCCTAAGGCCATGCGTTCAACTCCAAAAGCAAAGGCCCAAGACTATAAGATCCTTCTAGTACATTTATCGAGCCTTCATGGTACCCTTCTCGAAGCCTTACATGTGTCCTGAATTTTGTTCATCTCTTTCGTCCAAGCTAAATGAGCTTGATGCCGTCGAGCAGGGCGCAGGTATCGAGAGGTTGCTTCGGTTTTATTGTTTAGGCTTCTGTCGATCGAAGTCTTTTTTTCTTCCCAAGGTCGCATAGCCTGAAACCGTCGCGGTAAGTTGCCGGAAACGCCAGGAGTGCCCGCATGCGGCATGCCCTACACGATCGTCTCGTGGCGAATGCAGGCGGCACAGAGATTTTGCTTCCTGGCGTGAAAGCAGCCTTGGGTTTGGGTTCTGGATTTTGGAATCTGAGAAGGTTCAGGTCTAGGTTCTTAGCACTTCTGGGTGGCTTAAGCCAACTTCGATGCCCACGTGGGATGGAGAGGATCTTATATGAATCGAGGGTGTTTGAGAAGGCACTGTATGAGGCCCCAGACACCAAACATCCATAAACGCTCAACCCAAGCCCTAAAGATTGTGCCATGACTTCTGAATCCTCAAATCAAACCCCCAAATCCTGTACTCAAAACTGCAAAACATTCGAGGCAGCTGCAGAACCTGACGGTGGAGTCGGCGAGCCTTAGACGCACTTTTCGGGGGATGCCAGTGGGCTTTCGAGGTTCCTGTCAGGGATCCACAGGAATTTCTGTAACAGTTGCTTTACGGGTTTCAGGTTTGGGTTTGAGGGTTGAGGGTTTAGAATTCAGGCTCTGGGGTTAGGGCTACGGTTTAGCGTGTATTGTTTCGGATTTAGGGTGAGGCTTTAGGGTTTGTCATGCGGGGACTGAGTCGGGTTTCACGGTTTTGAAGAATTTCCAGAGCGGTGAAGCAAAGCAAGCTGTTGTTTGGCGGATGAACAATGCAAAACTCAGACCCTACGTCGAAAACGTAGCTATCCACCCTGAAGAATTCACGGTAGAGTCTGAGACCCGTAACCTTCAAGGGGGCGTCGGATGTCGGATCTTAGGTCTTTGGCTACTTCGGGTTTCAAGATTCCGAGATCCAGATTTTAAGCTGCATCGCTCAGGACTCTGGGGAGCACCAGAAGAGGCAAAACCGCGTAAGACGAAGAAGAAGAAAAGGAGGTTAGGGTGTAGGGTACGTCAGAAGAAGAAAGGCAGCATTCATCGTAAGACTACTGAGCAGTGGTAATGAGAACCGTCGCCATGATGCCCAGGCTTAAGTTCATTTCCAACTAATTGAAGTAGATGGTCTTCCACACCATCATCGGCAGAATGCCTTCGAGTGAACCCAGTGTAGCCAGCAGGATACCGTCCCTAAACCCCTAGACCCCGAAACCCTAAACCCCAATCAGTGAAGCCTAAACCCTTGAACCCTAAACCCCTGAAGGCCTAAACCCCCAACCCTAAACAAACCCGACCAACAGGATACCGTCCCTGGAGTTGGAGTCGTCCTGGTCCAGCCTGGCCATCATCCGGCAAAAGGCGGGGCTCAAATCCGTAAATGCCCTCAGCTCTGTCTTTGGGCAGCCGTAGCGTCTGCCTGCCTTATACTCAGCGAAATACATTTTTTAGCAATACAAGTGAGGTTGCTTGATTCATGAACAAAGCCCTGTACAGTGCAAAGGCTATCTTCAATCAAGGGGCATCGGGCCACCTGGGTGTACGGTGTTCAAACTTCTTGTGAAAAGAGTTCACCGAAGTAGCAGTCGCCACCCTGAACTATTGAACGGCCCAGTTTCGAAGGCATTCCTGCCACAGGTGGAATCCTAACAGTTCCTTGCAACTACGACAGAAGCCGAAACAAATAGTAATGGTATCCCCGAAGTATCCCCTCATACCCCTCTATTCCAAGTACAGTATAAAGCCACCAAAACCCTGTTCATCGGCGTGTGTTTGCAGCCCGGGGCTGTTTTGCCTCTGATGACCCTGGGCTGCTCAGGGTAAGATCCTGTTTCTGACCACTGATGGGCAGCTGGTCCTAGAAAAGTCGTTGTTGCCAGGCTGCATACTGGGGCTACTCGGGTTTAGGGTTTAGGGTTTTGGGATTACGGTTGAGGGTTTAGGGTTTGGGTTTTATGGCTTAGGGTTTACGGTTTGAGGCCTTGGGTTTAGTGCTTCAGAGCAGTGGTGCCGAATTGCTTTGAACTTTCGTGGGTGTCAGCTCGACTGATGTCCTTCCGTGAAATGTCTATATACCACATCTGCATGGGGGTTGTTTAGGTTGTTGGCTTACGAGGGTTGCAGGTACCTTTAAGGGCACCCTACTCTAGAGTCCCCCTCGTATGTTGCACAGGTGTTTGAGGCCTGTGCTTTCCGAGGCCTTCGATGGATTCTGGTTAAGGAAGTTTTTCAATTTACCAAAGAAGGAAGACATGCTACTTCATGTTGACTTAAGTTAAGTTCCTTAACGAGAGCCCGGTTTTGGATAACATCGTCGAAGTCGGGGGGTTCAGATACCGCCATGCGCCTTGTCCAAAGTGCTACGATTCGAGGTCTCCGCCCCGCAAACTTGATGATACTTAGAAGATCATGGGACTTAGTAACTAGGGTAATGATTGCTATAGTTACCTGTAACCCCGGGTAGGGTAGTTACTTATAACCTTTCTCACTAGGCTTCCTCAATCCTGTGCCCAATGTGCTAGATCTTGAGCCCCAGGTAAGCATTTGTTTGGAGGTTCTCGTGGCAATTCCAAGTTATTGCAAAGCAGTTACGAGTTTGCCTGTGGGGTTTTTTAGAACTTGCAAGTTCTGCCAGCTTCTGCATAATGCTTGACCCGATTCCCGATTAAGCCGGCCTGCACCCACGTCTCAAAGTTTAGGGTTTCGGGGAAAGAGAGCCCAAAAGCCGAAGGTCCCCAATCCTAGGTATCCATGGATCCCGGGACAACGGACTTGGCGTCTTGGCCCTACACTGCCGCACAAGCGGCTCCTCGCAATCGCCGTCGTGGCGGCCCGGACAAGCAATAACAATCTGTTGGTGTAGGGTTTTGCTAAACCCTGAACCCAGTAACAAGCTTTTGGTTCAGGGTAGGGTTTCACTGAGTCCTAAGCCCAATATCAAGTTTTTGGCTTAAGGCGGGGTTTCAAGTTTAGCCTGGGTCTGCTGAGATTATGTGCGGCTTTGTTGGGAGGTGGGGAGACATAACGACGCGAGTCCTCCTCAAGAGTTTATGGCTTAGAGTGTAGGGCTTAGGATCTACAGTTCAGGATTCAAGGTTAAGGGTTTAGAGTTGCTCAGGCTTTAGCTTCGGCCTGGGGGTTTATGGCGTTGAGGCTTTAGCAACGTTGTTCTTGGCGTTCAGTGTCTGGGGTCCAGGGCGACGGAATTCCCTGCACCCTAAACCCTAAACTCCAAAGCAACAAGGAAGGGCGTCATGCCGGGATCTGCGGTCGCCGGCACTCCGGCTTCACGAACATGGGCTGGGCCGCGGCTTGGACGGTCCAAATGGTTTCATACTGCAGCAGAACAACATTACAAATATAGGAGTCTACGAGAATATACCTCAAAACCCTACTGAGAGCCCCCCCGCGCACAAGCACGAAACACCCACGCCACCGATGCGAGAGACACAGAGAGATACAGAGAGAGAGAGAGAGAGAGAGAGAGAGAGACTGAGAGAGAGAGAGAGAGAGAGAGAGAGACAGAGAGAGACAGAGAGAGACAGAGAGAGAGAGAGAGAGAGAGAGAGAAAGAAGATGAAGAAGAGGAAGACCAAGAGGAAGAGGAAGACGAAGAGAAAGAGGAAGAGGAAGAGGGAAGCCAATTAGGGCCGGTGCTGTCGTATTCTAGGTAAGCCCGCCAAACCTGGAGTCGAAGAGTGCACTGTGAAGCCGAAGCCTGAGCTCTAGAAAGCCCGACATAAAACAATGCAGCTCATGGACGTTTGATACTTGCAAGCCCCAAACCCCGAATGATAAGTTCAGCATACGAGTTGTATGAAGGAGCCCCGCTCCGAAAGCTTAATTACTAGCTATATCCCTCTCCCCCTCAATTCAGACCCAGAGCCCGCATCAAAATGCAAGAAACATGTAGTTCGTGAGAACGAGGTCATTGCAGCCACCGACTCCGGACAGGTGGGGGGGACTGTGCTCAGCAGAGGGTGAGGCGTTTTAATAGCGCGGATGTTGAGGGATTCGGCTTGAGGCTTAAGGAGGGGTCAGGATGTGGCTTTTCAGCTTGGGTGGAGATGACATATGATCAGCGATTGCCAGCATTGTCCAATTAATTACGAACCCAGTTTATGACATCGCAACATGGCCAGTGCCAGTGAGCGTTCGAAAATCTATTCCATTGACTCGCACTGCTCTTGTCCAGGTGGGGACTAGTCACGAGTCGATCCGGGTTGTTGGTGAGTTTAAAGTTCACGAGATGTATCGATATTTATTGGTCAAGGGTTTGGCGACGATATAGAGCTGACAGGCCAGCTTGAGGGCGACAATCGAAGGGGCTTTCCTACTGACACTGCACCCTTTTCAAATGCCCGGTTGCCAGTATGGCTGCATAATGCCCCCACGCAGTAGCAGCTGAACAGTATTTATCATACAGACGTATAGGCCCCTGAACCCTAAACCCTAAACTCTAAACTGTAAACCCTAAGCCCCTGAATAGTCGCGCCATTATAGACTCTTCCTATACACGGGGGGGAAGGGAGCCCAGCCAAATTTCACTCCTGAGCTCGAAGCCCGAGATATGGGAGTTTAACCGGAGGAAAGTAGGGGTACCTTATTTTGGTGGTCCTTATAATAAGGATCCTACTATTTAGGGTACCATATTAGGGTCCCCTATTTTCGGAAACCCCCATATATCCTGACGGACCTTGGCCCGGAACCTTCAGTCTGCTGCCAGGTGATCGTCTTGTGTCCCACCCAGCCGCCTGCACCAATGAGTGGAGGTTTAGGTTTCGGGGTTTAGGGCTCGTGATGACAGTGTAACAGTGCAGGGTTTAAGTTGAATGCTGCCGAATCACATACTGCAGAGCTCCTGGCCGTTCCAATCGCTAGGGTCTTAGGCTGTAGTGACGGCAGTCCTATTTCAAACTTTGACGACGGCCTGGTCTTCCGTGCGGTAACCTTCCACGACTCTTCACGCAACAGCCGAAAGGCACGAAGCATCATCAGTCATGTTGATCGTAAGTTTTGGTACCGCCAACTGCTTTCCAATTGTCGCCGGCAATGTTGTCCGAATAGTAGCACCGAAACAAAGGCATGGTGAGCTGCATCCCGTCGAGATGCTCCTTTCCTTACGGAGACGCTCTGTTGCTGGCACAGTAGCCGCTATGCGGCAAGACTCTTGTGTTTGGACGTGGGGCTTAGGGATTTAGGCTTCAAGGTTCCGCGTTTTGGGATTCGTGGATTTGTGTCCCAAACTTCAGAGTTCGGTTCGAGGTCACCAAAACCCTGAGCCACGTAAACCCTGTAAGTATCAGCCCTAATTACAACCCCGAAAAGTTTCATGAACTCTACAAGCCCTATGCACCCTGCAAAATGAAGCCGAAACTCCAAAAGTAAACCTACACCCCCCTGACGCCCTCGTCACTGAACGCCCTATACCATAAGCCCTACATCCAAAACCCCAAGCCCTATAAGCCCTATGCGCCATGCAAACCCTATGAGCCGAGTTGTCGACCTTTGACTTCCCCGCACCTCTTACAGCGTATCGTTATAGGAACCGGTATCGTAACCCTGCAGGAACTAGGAACCCTTACAGGGGCCCTTGCGGGAACCCTGGAAAGAACCTTGAACCCTACACCCCAACAGACACAGACGAGGTGGAGATCATCGACTCCCACACCGGCTCGAAGTCGCCCCGTCGGCAGCGCATCATCGGCATCGTGGCGGACTGCCTGTCGCAGAGTGCTTTCCTAAGGTTTTGCAGGGTTCGGCTAAGCCCTGATATCGGCACTACGCCAAACCCTAAACCCGAGCCCCAATTCCCTAAACCTCCAAACCTCCAAAACGCCAACCCCAAACCCTAAACCCCAAACTCCTAAACCCTTAACACAGTGGGGTCGTATGTACCTTGCTTCTTGTTTCCTTTCCAAAATGCTCCCTCAACGGAGCTTTCGAGCCTGGACTTGTCTGCAGACACGAAAAGGAGCTTTCAAAAACAAATCCCGTAACACCTCAACCCTAAACCCTAAACCCTAAACCCTAACCCTAAACCCAATTCTAAACCTCCAAGCCCGAAGCCTCTACAACAACGCAACAGTGCTATAGCAACACGGCAGAAACCTTAGAGAGCCTTTGCAAGAACCAGCAACACCCTCATCTTGAAGAACGTCTAAACCCAAAGCCTAAACGCCTTATCCCCTATCGTTCCCTTAGAGACTTGTGGATCCCCATAAAGAACCCGTCTAAGTCGTGACAATACACCCAATTCAGCCCCTACACCCGAAACCCCAAATTTCAAGCCGTAAGCCCGAAAGCCCTAAAGCCCCATATCCCCTAAACCCTAATCCCCTAATCCCCTTAAGCCCTTAAGAGCCCGATACCCGGGAGGACTACGACTTGGATGTCCTTTGGATTCTTTCCCAGACTTCGGATGGCACTTTGGCACATCCTCGCCTGGGTTTAGGGTTTATGGCTTAGGGTTTAGGGCTTAAGGCTTTACGTTTTTGAGTTTGGCACGTCCTCTCCTGGGTGTTGGGCTTCAGGGCTTAAGGCTTTACTGTTTTGGGGTTTTGCGGCTTAGGGCTTAGGGTTTAAGGACTATTTCTTGGGCTCCTCGTTCCTTCGGGGCTTAGAGGTACAGGGTTTTGGGTCTAGGGTTCCTTCAGGGCTCCTTGTTATACTCAGACTAGAACATGCCCCACAGCACTATTCTACTTATTAAGGCACGAGAAGTTGCTGAGTGACCCTAGAGCATGCCTCTGACTTGACAAGCAAGTTTCAGAGCTATCCGTAGGCCCGGGTCCCACAGGTTTCTTTCAAGAGGAGTCGTTCGGAGAAATTCCTTTCCAAGTGAGGCCAAATAATATAGGGGCCCTGAATACCTACCAGTACTATTCTGGGGTATTCTAAATAAAATTTAACATACCTCAAAACCGTGTTCTAATTGTTTAGGCCCCTGTAAGAACCAATACTAAACCCTGAACCCTAAACACTAAACTCTAAACCCTGAACCCTAAACCCCAAACCCTAAACCCCAAACCCCAAACCCTGAACCCTAAACATTAAACCCTAAACTAAACCCTGAACCCTAAACCCTAAACTCTAAACCCTATAAACCCTTTAGACCCTAAACTCTAAACCCTGAACCCTGAACCCTAAACCCTATAAGCCCTTTAAACCCTAAACCCTCACAAACAGAGCACGAGCCGAGGCGAGGGCGCCGTCTTGGTTTTCGACCTCCAGACCCGGGACCTGTCGGGGTTTCAAGTATTCGCAAGGAATGTAAGGGGCTTTAAGGGTTCCTTTTAAAGGGGTCTGTAAGGATTACTATAAGGGGTATCATGGGGGGCTTTAACTCCTAGTTTAGGATTTCAAGAATTCGCAAGGCATGTAAGGGTCTTTAAGGGCTCCTTTACGGCTTCCTTTTAAGGGTCTATAAGGGTTAGCGCAAGGAATGTAGGGGCTTTAAGGGTTCCTTTAAGGATTTCTTTTAAGGGTCTTTGAGGGTTACCGCAAGGAAGGTAGGGGGCCGTAATACCTAGTTTAGGGTTTAGGGTTTTGGGTTTTGGGATATATCATACTAAGAACAGTTGCAAAGGGAACCTAAGGAATACCACATATTCTAGTTGCTAAGCCCCTATACTAGCTCTTCTAATTACCGTGAGGGCTACTTGTTTCGTAAAGTCGTTGAGATCCCTAGGGTTTTAGGGTTTAGGTATCCTTAGCACAAATCCTTCCTGCCTCCAGGACATTGCGCACCAGTGGCCGTTGCCCTCTGGGTGCCTGCGGCCGCAGTTTGGGTGGAGTTCAGGTTTTCCAGATCCCAAACTCCAGTCCAATTTCAACTCTAAACCTGCAGAGCTGTCAACATCGCTCAAACTTGAATGGCGCAATTACAGCCCTAATGTAGGAACCTGATGAAGAAACCCTGGCCCTATAACCCCCAATATATTAGGATTCATATAAAGAACCCTAATGAAGGCCCAAGCTGTCTTAATCGGGTTCGTGGCTTGCTCTGGGTTTTGAAGGTATCAGACAGGTAGGTTTGCAGAGTTTCAGGTGGAGGGCTCACCGATTCGTTTACTAAATGCGCTCGCGGCCCAACCTCAGGGCAAGAAGCAGTTAAACCGTGCGACGCCCTGTTTTCCTGAGACCTACACCATCAGGGCCCCAAGTCAAACCCTAAGGGACCTTACAAAGCCCTGTAGAGCCCAGCTTCATGGCTGGAAAGAGATCCCGAAAAGCCAAAACCTGCAAATCCATCTTAAACCCTAAAAGCGGAACCATGCACCTTAAACCCTGAACCCTAAACCCTAAACTCAAAAACCCCAAGCCCTAAACCCAAAAGCACTAAACCGTAAACCCCAAACCCTCACAAACAGAGCACTAAACACTGAACCCTAAAGTAGGCGCTGGTGGGTGCCCGGCCTCTGCGATCTGGGCCCAGGCAAGAGCCTCCGCATTTGGGGGGGGGGGGTTCCAAAATATAGTTCTGAGATTGGCCAAAGTGCCACCAGGCTCGTTCGACTCGCTTCTCTGACCGACAGATGTCTGTGAATAATATAGGTGCCGTAATAATTACCTATATTATTTTGGGGGTTCCTGATGATAAGTATAGGGCTTTGCAATCAGGTCCTTTATACTCTGTAGGTACTGTGTTATGTAGTGCTTCGGTTTGGGGCGGAGGTTTTTGGTTTGTTCCGGTTTCGGTTTATGTTGGGTTCGTACAAGTATACTTAGAGACTTAGAGGCTTAGAGGACTCATGGGACTTACTGATTAGGGTCCGTGCCTGCAATTAGTTATAGCTCCAATTAGGGTAGGACGTATGTCCTTACTTGCTAAGTCCCAAGATCCTCCAAGTAATCTTTTGCACAGGCCGGCCTTCCAGTACTCATGCAGAACCCTTGTTTTAATCGTTCGGGTTCTTTCCCCAAGCCCTTAGGGGTACTCGGAAGCAACCTTGCATTTAGGTTACTGTACTCCCCAAGAGACAGCTAGAATTATAGTCCAACGTCAGTAGAGCAATCCGAAGCCCGACTTAGAGGGTCATAGGACTTAGTAAGTAAGGTTATATGCACTTGAACTGGAGTTATAAGTAGTCAAAACCATCGTAGTCACCTTAATTATGGTCAATCAGACCGGGTTTCAGACGTAGCAGCCCGAAACGCTCAACCCGAAACCTTGAAACTGCAGACCCCGAACCCTTATGGAACCCTATAGATCCCTTAGAAGGAACCCTAAACCCTATAAACCCTTAAGGAACCCTAAACCCCGAAGCCCGGTCCCAGGTCAAGGAATGCTTCTCGGCGCCGCCGCGGACACGAAGACTCACGCCGGCGCCGAGATCTGGCGGTTTCTGCAGCTTGGCCCTGCAAGCAGTAATATAGGGGCCTAAATAAATTGGGGGCTCCTTCTCATAGTTGGAATATAAGGGGCCCCAAAGCCCCATTCTAATTTTTAAGGCCCCTGCAGTAGCAATAGCTCGAATGTCAACCCCAAGTGCAGCAGCAGAAACAGGTTTGGACATGCACAAAAACCCACGGTGTCGTCGCGACACTTCAAAAGCGGAACTATACGTCGTCACCAGTGTCGACCGGTTGAAGACCGTGCCTTGTAACGATCGCGTGAAGTTGTAGGGGCTGAGCAGGTGCAACACCAGTACCGGCAGTAGAGGGGTTTGTTTCGTCGCAGTGACGAAAAGCATGACTATTCACACCAGCGAGAGCAGCAATCGCAGTCAGAGCAGAAAGAGTAACAGCAAAATTCAGCAAAGTAGTTTACACTCACCAAATCCTGAATCCTAGGTAGACACTAAACCATATCTGCAGCCAAGCCTTATGCTTAAACCCTTACAGACCCCTTGGACCCTTTATAGTGAAACTCTGGAATGAAGCCTTAAAGGAGCCCTAAGATCTAGGACCACTAGCGGGCTTAAGCATTTGAAAAGATAAGCCCATAAGGTTTCTTATGAGATTTATGCGATCTCACCGCCCAACACCCTTTTCTTATCATTATGTCAACGTTTTTGTTCTCTCCTTGAGCCCGCAATCGAACTCGCCGTGGCCGAGGCCGGTGTTGGGGCGTCGTGCACGGAGGCGCTGGGTGAAAGCTGCCCGGCTTTTGTTACATGCCATGGGGGCTTGGGGCTTAGAGTTAAGGGTTTAGTGTTTAGCATTCAGGGTTTAGGGGTTTTGTGTTTTAACGTGTTTTGGGGTCGCGGGTGTCAGTTGTGGGGTTTGAAAATCAACAGATAAGGTGCAGAAGACTCGTTGCCACAGACCAGACTGGATCTGGCAGAGCCCAGCCCCGAGGTCGTCACTAAGCCATGAGCCCCGGGTGAGCTTGAAACCTCGAAGCCGAAATTGCAGATGCACAAGTTCGAGGCTTAAACATTGAAGAAGGCTGCAAAGAAAACCCCGAACCCTAAACTGAATCCTCGAAGCCCTAAGCCCTAAGCTGTGAGCACCAGACCCCAAGAAGCCCTGGGCCTTGGACCTTGAGCAAGAGCTCCAAAGAGCATGATGGTTCCCACACTTCAGGACCAGTCTCTGCAAAAGCCGTACAGCATTCGTAATGTAGGGGCCTTGATAATTACCTATACCATTTTGGAGGTTCCTTGATATAATCATAGTTTAACGGGCACCCAAACCCTATTCTAATTATTAAGGCCCCTGTATTAGGCTATCGTCATTGCGATTTAGAGCTAGATGTCCGTCACTGCTCTCTCAACCTCCAGGCAAAAGCCACGAGTAAGAACAAAGATGGCATGAATCTATTTGGGGATTTCATCACGACTCTTCTTGGCATCCCCGTGCACAAAGGCGACGGCAGAGATGCACAGACAACTCCTTATGGAGTGAGCTGCTGAAGGTGCTCCCAAGGCTCTCTAACCGAAGCTTTGCAGGATTGAACACTTTAGAGCTTTGATTACGGAAGAAGTCTTTAAAGTTAGGCAATGTTAGGCAGGGGCAGAGGTGTCTAGAACAAAATCGAGTTCGACCGACAGCTTCCGGAAAAAACCGTTTTAGTCATTGATGATTAGGGTTCAGGGAGCAGTGTAAGAAGCCGGTGACTGCCGTCTGTAACCCTATCTACGGCCCAATGGATCCCGACAGATGAGTACTGAGACTGATGTGGTTCATCGCAGGCCAACTTGAGTCAGAGGGATGTTGGCCTTTGGCATACCGTCAGCGAAGGAGCAACCTAGATGTTTAATTCCCCCTAGCATCTTTTCGAAGTAACTATTCGATGTGTTCGGAGCTACCGTATTCCAGCCCAGAGAAGCTAGAGACGCTTGGAGGTGCTTACAAGTCGCGTGACCTGTCAAGAAGCACTGGCATGCGCAAGCTGATACTGGAAGTTTCCGAGCAGAAGGGACCCTACCCGAAACCCCGAACCTTAAACCCTGAGAAGGGAATTCTTAACGCCACAAGTTTCCCCAAACCAGTATGATCATAAGTATGCGAAGCAGAAAGAGGGGATCCCGATGTTCGGAAGCTCCCATCGTAGTTGTCAGGCCCCACTATCGCATCCTACACTCACTGAGCCTTTTATGCCGTAGGTGTTTCGGGCTGTTAGTTTGAAGTTTTTGTGATTTCGGGCCAGGGCTTAGCCGGCCCGAAGCCAGAAGCTGGACGCCAAAAGGATAACATAGGAGACTGCCTGTAGTCTCCATTGTAGTTTCTTCTTTTGGTCAACCAGCTTTATGTTATAGTATCCAACCATAGATAACTGGCTAGCCCAAGTCGAACTGCACTGGAGACTGCAGGTAGCGAATGAGTGGTCCTTGGAGGTCTCCCCAGTATGCTTATTCTATAATGTACACCCAGGGCCTGTTCGTATTTCTTAATGCTGCTTATATTGCTCTCTGGGATAGGCATAAACAGCGACTGAACAGATCCCCGAACAGTAGTGGCATAGGATCTCCCATTCCGCTCAGACAGCCCCCCTGCCACGACGAAGAGTGACAATATCTCGTGTCAGTGAATCCACAAGGATTGCGAGGGGCATGTTGTGTTGGTCCGGTGTTCTCTGCCCCTTTTCAAGCGGCGTCGGCCGCAAAGCACGAGAGCGCAATTAGTCGCTTTTAATGACTGCATTTTTTCTTCCAGCTCCGGAAGCTGCTGGGGATTGCTGTCACATGAATACCAACAAAATAGTAGTGATAATACTAATACAATAATATCAATAATCAGAATAGTATTACTACTAATATTAATATTAATAAAGTTAGGGTTTAGGGTCCTTTAGCCATGAGTTCCAGCATCCTTCAAGGGCTAGTGTTTGAGCCCGATGCCTAAGTGGTAGCTCGGCCCTAGGCAATCCCAATGCGCCTTTTTTACATCTCTGTCTCTGCCCGACCTGACATCGGGAGCCCGGCTGTTGAAAAGCTCCGCTTCACAAAGCCGAAGAGCTAAGAGTCTGACCCTCAACGGGCAAAGCCCTAAACCCACTTAGGGTTTGAACTTTAGAGGTTTGGTTTCATTCTCATATCGAGTTTCGGGTTCATGTACAGCTTAGGGGTGCATGGACCGGGCCGGCCCTCGGCCCTAAAACGCAAACCCGAAGCTCAGAGCGTACTTTAGGGGGTAGGAACAATTGCTACTAGTATTCCCACTTATAGCCGTTATAGCCTCTAGTATAACTAGACCATAATATTAGTCGGGCCCCTATACCGATACCCTGGACCCTTTTCAGAGAACTTCAAAGAGCTTCTTAAAAGAACCCTTTAAAGGCACCCTATTCTAAGAAGTAAGGCCCCTATATTACAACTTCGGCCCTGAGCCGCTTGCGCTCCCGATGGCGGCGTGGATCAGTGCGCGGACAGAGGTTTCAAAACGCTTCCTGCAGTGTCGGGTTCAGGGATTCGGGATTGGGGGTTGGGGGTTAGGTCCAGGGTTTCGGGTTAAGGGTTTCGACTTTGCCGGGGAACAGCGCATAGGCGGAAGTATCTGGCGACAGTGCGGTTTCGAGTGCATCGTCGTTTGGCGATTGGCCGTTATAGCCTGATTGTGGAGGGCTTCCTTCCTTCTCTCCCACCTCATGCCGTCTCAGGCGGATAGGGCAGGGCAGCAGGGTGGCAGGGCAGGGGCTGTGGGGGGGCGGGCTGCCTCATGGGCTTGAAACTACGAAACTTGGGCGGCCTAGCATGGGATATGGTGTTTCCTGAGACTTTGGGAACTTGGGATCCCTTGTTGAACTTCTGAAACCTCAGCCCTATCAGTACACCATACCAACCGTACCGTTTAGACCAAGAGCCATCCAAGCCTTAAGGCCCCACCCTTGAACTCAAAGCCCAGCAAACCTATACACAAAGCCCGAAGCCGACTTGGCGGATCATGGGAGTTAGTAAGTAAAGACATATGATATACGTTAATTGGGAGTTACCGGATATAGGGAACCCTAACATAGTACCCTAAATAGTAGGATCCCGATTATAAGGACCTGTGCTTTTGCTTCCGCCCGCAACAGCGTAGCAAATATGCTTGTGTAGGCTCTGTGTGGAGCTGATGCTCGCACGCGAAAGGAAGGGAACAGGGGAGTTCCCCGCCCTTCTGCAGGCGGAGAGAGCCCCGGCACAGTGTCTTTGTTTGTTGCCCGTGCATGCACCGCCGCACAGGTTCGCAATCCCTTCTTTGTCTGGAGGGGTCGGCCGTTACAGCCAAGGGTGACAGGTGGGTCGACAAGCGCAGCGTGAAACGTGTGTCCTGAACATGGGGGAATGGGTCGCCCATGCGCTGAGGAACCCACTAGACATACCAGTGGTCGCTTTATCTCACATCGCTGGGTTGAAATACGTGCGTCTGGAGTGGGTGCTTGTGCAATCGAGCGTCTAGTTGACGATTCGGTGCTAAAAAGCACTCTGAATTATTATGAAAAAAGTGTATGAAAAGTACTTGAAAATCCCAGCGTCCGCGGGATATCCTGAAATTTGAGATGCCTTCCCCACCCTCCTGTACCCCCGCAGGCCAAGGCATTAAAATGCCTTCCCCCCTTAAATGCATTCCCCCCCATCAAATCGCAGTCAATTCCTTGCAGTTGCTTGTGTTATGTATATAGGCCGATGTGAGCTGCTGGGACAACCGCATCTTTGTCTGCGAGGGGCTCGCCCAGGGGGTGGTAGAAGTCCCGTAGTGTCCGCGCTCGAGTTCAGTTCGAAAGCAGTAATGACACAGTTAAGCTATGGCAGACCGCAACGTGAAAACCGTTAAGCAGCTCCGGGCATTGATTGCGCCCTCAACGAAAGACTTCAAAGACAGGGTCTGGCATACGTTCGTCTCTCTCTCAGCCATGGCACCCAAAAAGGGCCGAGGCCGCTTGGTGGCCGTGCCTGATGATGTGGTGCTGCCGACGCAGCCGGTTCCCAGCTGGTGTGTCCATTGGCAAAACAAGTTATACATGCAGTGCCATCATAGATTGTCTGGAACCTTGTGTGCTGTCAGTCAGTTGAGGGAGTGCTCACCTAAAGCTCGGCCATGGGAGAGATCCAGTGAGACTCCTACCTCGAGATTTTGCGGTGCAGGCGAGACGCCGGGGTCTGACTTCCTTGCGCATATGGGTACTTGAACGTGCTTTTCCCGAGGGGCAGATGCCTGGCGAAGTTCGAGACGGAGGCGTCCGGCAGCCGGGCTTCGCACCACGAGTACTGGTGGCCGCTGCCTTATATTAGCAGCTAGAAAGTATGCGATTAATTATAGGTGACAGCAAGGAAGAACTATGAGAAAGCATGATCAAACCATTATGTCAAACCCACATCTGCTGCTCAGTGTGGGTGGTACGGCGGCGTGGGTGCGGTCGACACGCCCGCCGTCGGTGGGGGCGGTAAAGGCTTGCGTGATTCGTTCAATCTCGTTCAGATGCCGACTCAGACTGCGAGAGCATGTCCCGCAGGCCGCCAAATCGGGAAACCCTTGTGCAGAAGCAGATGCCATGTCCTCAGATAGCGTTGAGGATCCGGATGCTAGCGGTGGTGCTCTGCCATGCATGCTCGAACACTTTCGAAAACTATTCGGGGCTCACAGCGGGAGCCCATTTAGGGCACTAGAACGGTAGAGGCACGCAGAGATGAATATGATCACGATCATGGTCTACAAGCTTCTCGAGATGCTCTGTCGGCTCCTCCGTTCGTTTGTGCCTGGGCTGATTATCTGGCTTACCATTTTTTTGCCTCTGTGCGTGGCCGATGGATCTCCACATCTTTCGTGCGGCAGGCACCTGGCATCGACGACTGTTCGAGCCGCTCTTCGAGCTCGTCGTCTGGCCGCAGACCGGTCCGGACCTCCAAAGTCACCCTGTTTAAGACCATTCGCAACCGGATGCAGGAGTCGGTGATGCCTTGGACACCTGCAGGGGTCTCAATACCACTCGGTGGCACCAGCTGATCTAATCCATTCGCTGCCGTTCGCTTCCCATGAGAGCATTCCTTCGACACCTCCGGGTATGCGGGTCGTCGGAGGCTTATAAACCAATCTGCGATGCCGGCATGGATGACAGGCTTTGTTTGTTTTTATTGCTAAGGGCGCTTTTCGGAAGGTGCCCCTCATTTTTCGGAAACTCCCATATTTCATATACCTACCTTCATTGGCGTAAGACGTAGCTACAGCCATATTTACTTTATTTGTAAGCCTAGTTACTAGGTCCAATGATCCTCCAAGCACACACGTAGCCCGAAGCCTCGAACTTGAAAGAACATTTTGGACCCCCAGAGCCCTCGAACAACCCTTATAATTAGAACCCTAAACCCTACATTCTCAGCCCTCAACCCCAAACCCTAGAACCTAGACTCTACACCCTCAACCCCAAAACCTCAACCCTAAGCTCATCTGTTCAAATCAACCCGACCGCCTGACGACGCAAAGGT